TGTTTCCCCCCCCCCCCCTTTTTTTTTTTTTTTGAAAAAAACCTGAAATGACCCCAGGGGTGTTTGAAAATGCCGACAATTGAAACTAACGAAAGAAACACTCTCTAAAAACAAACTTTTTTCGCATGAATCCTCCATATGTTTTTTTGTTTGCATTTTAATTTAATTTATGTAATTGTTACGTGATTTATCTTTGATGTCATTCTAGCCATTGATTTTTTGGGCACTGGAATGTTTTTATCCCACTTAGTGCACGAACAAACTAATAGACTAAAGATCTACATTTAAACACAAATATATAATAAACAAAGCACATAGCAACAGATACACAATTAATCTCTACACCAAAACACGCACCAATCGAACAAATCATTTAACCCCCCCCCCCCCCCCCCCCCCTTTGAAAAGCAGGAAAAACTGACTTTTGAGGGTTGCGAGTAGAGGGTGACAGGCTGAAAATTTAGTAGAATGTGTTGTCATCATCAACGCGTCTATGTGCCAAGTTTCAGCGCGATAGGATGACGGGAAGTTGGGTCAGGTAGTCTTCCGAAGATATGGCCACACAGAAACACGGAGCACCAGTCAAGTTAATATCATCAAGGATTTTACAAAATAGTTGTGGTGACGCTGATTGCTGGATGGGACGTTTTCAGCCACGTGACGCTGATTGCTGGATGGGACGTTTTCAGCCACGTGACGCTGATTGCTGGATGGGACGTTTTCAGCCACGTGACGCTGATTGCTGGATGGGACGTTTTCAGCCACACGGCTGCTGACCCCGCAAGTTGAAGCACAACCATGTAGGTGGTAGGGCATATTGTGTATTCAAGGAAAGTTCCGGAAACTGCTGCACCCCCCCCCCCTGTCGTCAAGGTGTATCGGTCATATCATAACGTTAAACCAGGGTGGGGGGAGGGCGCTGGCGTGGAGAGGGGTGTGAAGGTTATGGCGGATAGAACGTCATCTAAGAGTGGCCCCCTCCGTACAGCCACAGAAACAATGCAAGAGTAAGAGTCTAGAACTCCTTTATTGTCTCCTCCGTATGGCCACAGAAACAATGTAAGAGTCTAGACCTCCTTTGTTGTCCCCTGCGCATGGCCACAGAAACAATGCAAGAGTCTAGAACTTTGTTGTTGTCTCCTGGCCCCTACAGTACAAGGCTGGTTTATAGTAAACTCGTCATAATTCAAGTCAAAATATCACGAAACGATTTGAAATAGTCAGCTTTTCTTTCATTTTAATTTCTTAACTACTGAGTTCAACACAATCCACAACAAGAACTAACCGGTAATGATTGGCGTTCACGGTAGAAAAATTAGAATCTCCTGTCCACAAGAGGAAGATGCCCTCAGCTCATCAAAACAATAACTCACTCATTTTAAAAAAAAATGTCTTCTTGTCGCTCACAACAATAATTGCACACCACTTCCCCCCCCCCCCCCCCCCAAACGTGGTTTGTTTCAACACACCGACACGGTCATACGTCATAGCTCATACGTCACAGGCGGCTGGGTGAAACCGGTGGGTTATAAGGGGAAGTAAGTAACGCGAAAACGTCATCGAGGGCTCACTCACACGCGACCGATAGACATCACGTGATCTGGCTGTGACGACGGTTGTCTGCAGAAAGGGGGGAGCAGTTGATTCTCGGTTAAAAAGAATACCTGGCTGAGACATGTTTGACGCAAGTTCACCGCCAGATGTCAGCAAGTGGCCCGTTCACTCTTTGTGACAGCTGTCAATCAACGGCTTTGGGAGTGCGGTAGGAACAGGGGTAATGAGGGTATGATATATATATAAATATATATGTATATATATATATATATATATTGTGGAAGGGGCAGGGCCGGCCTTAGGCCACCGCAACCTATGCGGCCACAGTGGGCCTCGCACTTTCATAGGCCCCACTTTCTAATACAAAATCTTAATTTTCACTTATTATCCTTATCCCAACCCAGACTGGGCCCCGCGCAATCCTTTTCGCATAGGGCCCCGCAATTGTTAGGGCCGGCCCTGTGTGTGTGGGGGGGGGGCATTCTCAGCTAATGTAAGAGTATTTTTTCGGTGAGAGGTGGGGGGCGGTAAAAAAATGTAACCCCCCCCCCACACACACACACAGGATGACATTAAACTTAGCTACTTCGCTGGCGCCAGAGGAGCTAAACATACATATTATATGGTTACCGGAAATTTGATCGAATGAAATTTCGTCCACGGTAAATTTAATTGAACGGAAATGTGGTCGAATATTTTTTTCAGTTGACACGTTAAAATGTTGGTCAAATTTCTTTTTGACCGCACTCTACGATATAGCAGAACAAAAGAATGCGTTTACAAAGACATTTGAAGCAACATTTGTACGTAAAAGCTGAAGAATAAAAAAGATTCGACCAAATTTTCGTTTGATCAAATTACCATCCATCAATTTTTACCGTCGACGAAATTTCTTTCGATCAAATGTCAGGATACGATATCATATAATAGGAGACTCTTTAAAAAATTGAATTAAATCGTTTACTAAGATTTTTCAATGGTTTATTTCTTTTCTTTTTTTTTTTTTTTCAATTACTTTAATAAATTAAATATGAACAATTTATAACTTGAAATCAATTAAAGTTCATTTCATTTTATGCAAAAATTTTTATTCGTTTTTTTTTTAAAAAAACAGGTTTATTTCTTTTCTTTTTTTTTTTTTTCAATTAATTTAATAAATTAAATATGAACAATTGATAACTTGAAATCAATTAACGTTCATGTCATTTTATGCAAAAATTTTCATTCGTTTTTTTTTTAAAAAAACGGAATTAACAAGCGGAACAAACTCTTAAAGTGTTTATTTGAAAACCGTGATGTCTTTAAGTGTTGACATTATTTCGGTGCTTTTTCCAGGCAACACGTTTTAAGACAACCATCGTACATTCATCATCTTAATATCTTACTGCTACTACATTTTAAAATAGTACCCAATAGTACATAAAATCAAGTAGAATAAAAAAGAGAAATAAAGGTCGCGCCCGTAGAGTTTGAGTAGGTCCCACCATTTCATGGAGACGTGTGCACTTCCTGCGGTTGGTTGGTCTCACGAAGATAGACTATCTGCTGTTCCATTTCAAAACTTTCAATTTCAGTCAGCCACAGAGACATTGAAAGAAAGGTGCGCAGTTTGAGTCAGTTACAGAGACATTGCCAGAAAGGTGCGCAGAAATCGTGTTTAAAAATGAAGAGCTTCTAAAAATAGACCGCAGCCTTCCATTGGATGTTATACATAACATTGTAAAACTTTCCTTTTTTCGTGGTCCCTCTTGTTCCCATTCGTTACTGTGTAGCTAGTGACGTCACTACGGTGTGTATCTAGTGACGTCACTATGGGGTGTATCTTTTTATCCATCTATACAACAAAATGAAACGGCACACAATGAGACGAAACCTACTTTAAACCGGGTCAATTCATATTTTAAAAATCTGGCACATTTTACTTCTTCTTTGTTCCTCTTCCTTTCTTAGCAGACGTGGTGACGTCATGCAGCCCTTGATCAGCCTTCCTCTTCCGGCCCTTTGCTTTATCTCCCTTCGGTTGCTTCTTGACATCAGTAACATTTGTGTCGGTTCCCTCATCTGCTTCATCACCGCCGTCGTCGGCAGCCGTCTTCCCACGACCTCGTCTTCCTGTACTTTGTTTTTTCGCCGTCGCTTGACTCGTCGCCTTCTTCTTCTCATTTTCAGCGTGACTCCGTCCTGTTTTTTTATGCTCCTCTCTCATCTTTTCGTACTTTTTGAGCACCGGTTTCCATCCGCCGGCCGTTTGACTGAATGTCCAGTGGTAGCCGTCTGTTACAATGGAGTACCGCACTGCCTCCATCATCGTGCTGTAAAGCTCGTCTTCCGTCGGGGCGGGAAGCTTCAAGATTTCAAACCAGTCCGCGTAGCTGTGCATCTCGTCGTTGATTCTCGCGAAGGCTCGTTTCATCTCGGCCACCATGTCTTCGGTGGGGAATCCGAAGTTGTCGTCGTAACGTTTGATGACGTCCTCGCGAGACATCCCAGCCGGCATGGCGATGTCGAGGAACGATGCCTGGAAGGCGAGATGCTTTCTTGACACCTCCGTGTGTTCGTACGTCTTCTGGAGTCTGTAATCTTTCGGGGTGTCGAGATAGCCTAACTTTTCGTCATCTTTCACGTAGAACAAAGGACCCCGCTTCCAGGATTCACTGAGATAAGCTTCAGCGACATCCCGCCATCTGTAGTTTCTAGATCCTGGTACGAGCATCAGCCATTCGGCGATATACGGTACTTTGTGTTTGATCCGGTTGCTTTCGTGTTCCACGTAGTCACCCACCTGCTGTTCGATCTGAGCCTGGAGGTTGGGGTAGGTGTCGATCGCCCACAGGAGCAGGCGGTGGAGGGCGAAATATCCGTTTAGGCTGTTGTCACTCGTGTGCTGTGTCCCTTTAGAGAACTCCACCACCGTGGCGCTCATGAGGTTGGGGATGGTTTTCAGCACCAGGTCTTCGGTGGACGATGTTTTGGGGTCGTATTTGGGCATGATTTTGGCAACTTTCTTAAGGGCGTTTTCGAATTCGTCTTTGATGTGCGCCCCGTGAATCGGGTGAATGAACAGAGGCAAGAATATTTCAAGCTTTTCCTTCAAAACGCTGTGTACTACGCCAACAGACTTGTTCATGCCATTGAAGGATCCCATTGTTAGGAATTCGCAAGGGGACGTTAAAGTAGGTCGCCACTTATTTCCTGATACCGCCAGTCCAAACCCGAATAAGTCATCGGTGCCTGCCGGCTTCTGGACAGTGAAATCTTGTTTGGATATATAATCAATGATTGGCTTTGGGGTGGCACCGCTTTTTTGCTTAATGGCGACTTTTGCTTTCTCGACTGCAGTTTTGCCCCTTTGAGGTTTGTTTTTGCTTCTCTTTCCCTTAGCTTCAACCGGAAGAGAGTCGTCTGCATTGTCAAGGGGAGGAAATGGCGTCTCGTATTTATGCCCGCAGTCGGTGCAAACAAAAGCTTTCGAAAGCGTGAGATTGTGCTTGTTGGCGTCAGAAGAGGATGTCTGAGGAGAAGATTGGATCTCGGACAGGAACGACACGACATTCATGAGAACCGACTGAATGGTGTAGCCAGGGGACCAGCCCAAGCCTTTCTCGTCCTGCCACTCCGTGTGCACGTTGGCGAAATCTGAAAATATGTTCAGGCAGATTTTGGTGCCCTTCTTGCCGGACTGCACGGCGCCGCCCCTGTAGTTGAAGCCCGTGGGCACAAACTCGGCACTCGGGGAGCTGTACGGGTAGTTTTGGGGGAAGAAGAGGATGAGGTGGTAGATGATGTCATCTTGTTTGATGTTGCAGTGCCACTCAAACATGTCATCGTCCAGCGGACTGGCTGAGACGTTCCCAACCGGGGATTGTGTGAGCTCCTCCTGGTCGAACATGAGTCTCTTGATGGCGTTCTTCCGCGCCTCGTTGGCCATTTAGAGGACCTGGAGAGAGAAGTTTTGAAAAGATTGAAGTTTATAAAATATATGACACTAAACCGTACATGCATTTAGGGTTTCATGCTGTAATAGGACATATTATTATGACGTCATTTCTGTGATATAAAATGAGTTGTGTGTCCAAAGACGAGCCTGGAATAAGTGGCGTCCAAGCATCTTTTGTTAGGTGTCTGCTTCAACGTTGGCTAGTGTTGTAGATGTAGGGGCTTTTGCCCCCTTATGATCGTTTTAACTGTCTTGCACCCACCCCCGTAGTCAAGCGTCAAGTTTTCCGCCCCTGGTCACAACTGATATATATATATATATATATATATATAAATTCAAAATATGCCTATATACTATTATTATATATACTTTATATATATATAAAATAAAGCCCCGTTAATCCTTTCTGTTTACAATCATAACACGGCAATGTAACAAGGCAACTTATAATTATTGCTGAAGATAGAAGTATTTGAAAAAAAGGAAACATTGTTTTTCAAACATGGCGGCCGTGTGATTATCCCGTAAAATCTCGATGAGTTTTTCTAAAATTTTAATAATTCAAATTATTTCAACGCAATGGACAATGACTTGTTTTAAGCATTACTCTTAGTAGATACTTCGCAGCATGATTTCCCCATGTCAGCTGCTTGTGCTGACTGGGGAAACCAACACCACTTTGCTCGAGTGGTGTACACGTGATCTGCCTCTTCGTGGCGTTGCTGACCAGTACGGATTAACCTCCGGAAGCCAAAGATCACACACGTCCATGTCAGAAGGACCCACTGAGCTAGGAGGGGGGGCGACGCAAAGCCCTCTTTCACTGGGAGGAAGATATTTTGCTCAAACCACTATTACTCATGACAATGCAAAATCTATCATTAACGCAGGTTCGACTGGGGGGGGGCTTGGACACGATCCTGCCCCTCCGACCGTGGCTTCCTCAAAAGGCCCTCGATACCCACTGTCGGGAGACTGGGTGGGACCGAGTAAAGCTACAGGTGTGGTGCGTGGACTGCATCCTCTCCCCGCGGATGTCCCCTTGGGGAGGGCGTCCCCTCTCGCACGTGTGACGCTTGACAGGCGCGTGCGAGGCCAACAAACGACTGGTCGAGAACGAATAGGTGGCACGGGACACCTCAAATATTCCCTGATTGTGTTACAATTGAATGTGTGTGGAATCAGGCAAAAGTCACACGAAGTAACCAAACTACTCCACGAGCACGGCGTGGATGTAGGACTGTTCCAAGAAACATTGCTTCACGGGAAGCCGTTTCACATCACTGGTTACTCGCTATACCATTGCAAGTGTGGGCGATGCCAAGGCATTACCACAGCGGTGCGCAATGATCTCACGGTGGAGATCATTGAGTGTAAACGTTACGCAAATACTGACACCCTGTCAGTAAAAGTCACCAAATGTGGGAAAACGTTCGCCGTGACGAACATTTACAATTCTCCAAGCAATGTGATCACGATCCCCACCCACGGGGAGACGATCTTTAAACGGACTATAATTGCAGGAGATTTCAATGCCAAATCCCCCATGTAGGGTTATCCAGAGCGCAACGGCTCTGGTAAGCACGTGGAAGAGGTATGTCTCGAGACCAACCTTATCAGGCTCCAAGACGAAAAGAGCACGCCCACTCTTCTCCATTACGGCCATGGAACGGAGTCCAGGCCAGACCTGACGCTCGTGTCCGCTGATCTCGCGGGACATCAGGTCCTTAATGTCCTTAATGATATTGGCAGCGACCATCTGCCCATACTGCTTAAGGTTGACTTGGGACAGACCAAAACCAAGTGCGATAAACGCCACTGGCTCTTTCGTAAAGCCAAATGGCAAAATTTCCAAAGTCAGTGCGAGACCAAGCTCGGACTAATTGCAGTCGACGTGGCCGACTCAGACTTAGATGTTGCTTTCGAGAAGTTCAATGACGTCCTCCTAGCGGTCGCCAAAGTGACGATCCCGAGATCGACCGGGAAGACTTAGACTCCTATTCTGAGATGCCACTGTCGTAGTACTAGTAGTATTTAAACAAACAAAAAATATTTTGCTTTGCGACCAGAATGGGCTGAGTGGGTAGTATTCTATATTTTATGTTAGCAAGTGTTCAAAATAATAGATCTAATTATTTTCGAATATTACCTTTAGAGCAACAGTAATCAAGTTTCAATAATTGTACTCAAATCAGAGTGTACAAATTCTAGTTTGCTAGTTCATGTGACGCCCTTCACAACAATATCAACAAGATTAATAAGATCCTATATATAGCAATGCGCGCTGCTTCGCGGATATATTTTTTAAGAGTGTCAAAAAGCTAAATGCAGCGAAGCAAATTTTAAATTTTTAAAATATATTTTTAAAAATGCATCGTTTGATGCACACTGTCAAAATGGTTACCAAACTATCACAGGCACTGAAAAGGCTTTTTGTTTTGTTTTTCTCATTTCTTTTTATCATCTCTATCTCTCTCTCATTCTCTCTCTCTCCCCCTCTCTCTATCTGAGTGTGTGTGTGTGTGTGTATGTGTGTGTGTGTGTGTGTGGTAGCCTGGTGTTTGCATTTACTCCATTGGAATTTTATGGTTTAAAAGTAAGGGGACGTCTATAAAGTACGTCACGCTATTTTTGACCGTTTTTACACCCCCCTCCCCCCCCCCCCCCCATGTGTGGTAGCCTGGTTTTTGCATTTCCTCCATTGGAATTTTATGGTTTAAAAGTAAGGGGATGTCTATAAAGTCCGTCACCCTATTTTTGACCGTTTTTACCCCCCCCCCCCCCCCCCCCCGGTCACAAACTGTCACAAATCTCGGACCCCCACCACCTAAAGTACGGCACACTTTCGAACACATTTTTTTTTAAATTAACACCTAATTAAAATTTAATCTAAAACACACTTCACAATTAAATTGTATTAAAATATATATAATTTCCACTTAAAAGAACTATCACATTATTAAAATGACTTTACTAGTAGAATAGTTAATTGTCAACAGTTATCACAGTTATTCCTTGAAGCAGTAACTCAATGTAGATTGAATTTGAAAACATACACATTTACGTCCCACGTTTAGTATGAAATTAACGAAAAGGTATTGTCTTAAATATTATAAACGTTTACGTATCTATATATTAGTTTTAAACTGCTATAACACCCCACAAATACTGAACCATGATTTAGCCGAATATGTTGATAGTTATTGCCCTTCTATATCGCTAATAGCGGCTAGCTTTTCTTCTTAGCAGAAGTTGAAAAACTGATGATTGTCATCGTGACAATAATCTAACTATCTTTCTTTTTACACTCTTTTAAATATAGTCATCACCACAACTGCCATGCCGACGGACGTAGATACCTTAGTAGAAATGGGTTTTCCTGTCCACAGAGTGTAAGTTCCCGTTAAAAAGTGGTTAGGCTCAGCCGCCAGCGGGGCTTAGTTATAATTATTAATATACGTAGACCTATTTTAAACTATTTTAAATTCGATTTTATTTTACACTTTCACTTTCATTATTAATCTTAAACAGTGTGATAGTATTCTAGTAGGCCTAATATTAATAATACTAATTTGTCAGGTCTAGGCTATATATACTTTATTATAAATTTTGTCTATCTTATTGACTATTACTATGTGTGAGTCGTGTGTTAGTTTAATAAAAAAAAATGTATTACTTCCACTTTTTGTGGTAAAGTTTTAAAAAGAACTGTTAGGATGCTATTGTCCTAGTCCTAGTGTAAAAAATGTATACATTTCTTGCAGTTACTGCCCTAAGAAGGCTTTGGCTTTGTGCCTAATGTCTCATTTTAACTTTTCATTTTCAGGGTATTATTTTAAAAATAAAATAACTTTAAACTAGGCCGAAGGCATAGGCCTAAGATAAATAGAGATAAGATGTTATATATAAAGCCAATAAGCTTTGTCTTTACCACTGGCACTGGGGTAAACACGACATAAAACCTGTTTTGAGTGGTTTACATCTACTATTTTGCTGTAGAAATGACAATTTAAAGTCTATGACTACGACATTACATCAAGCCTAAAACCTACCATTTAGTTTTTTATTTACTCTTAAAATATTTCATATAGGAGCTTCTCACCCCCCTCCCATATCAATTTTTTTAAATTGATAGATTTAAATTATGACATACAAGGCAGTTAAATAAAGTACTGAGTATTTGCATAGCATGTTAAGAATAATGTAACAGGTTTTAACCCACTTTTGATTTTCTAACCGCCTAAGCCTATGGCTGTTTGACTTTACAAGTACCAATTTTTTAAATCGGCTGAATGAAATTATAAGATAACACTCAAAAATTGCACCATATGCATGGAACCATATAGCAGTCCAAAGCTGTCACTAGGCGAAATATTACTGTTACAATATTTAGCAGGCTTAATTATGAAATCAGAGCAGCAGTATAAGGTCAATAATTACAAAACATTACGGTTTTATTTTTATAGCCTTTGAAAATAATTATAAATCGTGAATTTCCCAGATTTGTATGTGACATTTGGTTATAGTTATATAGAATATGGGAGTTATAAATAGGCTACATGTGGACTGTCTGAATTTCAGGATAATAATGGAAGAATTAGTTCATAAATGTACATACACATTCTGACAAGAATCCACTCTACCCAAAAGCATCAGTATTCAAAGCATCCTAAATCAACAGCACCCCTCCCCCTCAGTGATTACATAATATATGAATAATCTCTAAGTGGAGTTGGGGGAAAAGCTATTTTCAAGTGTAACATTTATAAAGTATTTCTTAACCAATTCTAAAAATTAGAAGTTTTACAATAATTGCAAAATAAGGTTTCACAAGCTGCAGTCGAGTACTTTACCATTGATTCTCCATAAATCATATAAAATTAGTGTAGATTTTGTTAATATGTTACTATATAATTTTAATTATTGTTTGATTTTTTTTTAATAGTCATGTATCTCAAGAAATAAGTAATAGTAAAAGCACTGTAATGTGCACAGTTCAAGATATAAGTAATAGTAATAGCACTTTTATGTGCAAAGTTCCATTTTGCACAATAAAATGGGCTGTAAGAGAATAGCTGGTATTTCAAAATCAAGGCAAAGTTTATAAGCACAGCAATTGCATCTTAAATTATTTTTAAAAATTTAAAGCAGTTAATATCAAGACTTAAATTAATGCATATCTGTGCCACTTGTTTGTCTTCACTGATTCAAAGCACATGGCTGATCGCCTCCTACGCAAACTTTTTGCACTTCACTATACTCAAAGAAAGAAAACAAATTCCTTCACATAATATTTTGTTACACAATAATGATTTATTTTTCCTTTTTGTCCCTCTACAATAAGACAAAGAGCTTTAGCTAAGACTGGATATAAAGGGGTGCAGTTGGCCATGGATTGGTGAGTATTTTAATACTGTTAACAATAACTTAAATTGTTAAATATGCTAAAATAATGTTTCAGTGTGAAAAGAACAGTCACTCAAGGGTGGTTCATCATAGTTTCTCTCCCTTTGTGTGACAGCGCAATGGATAAATAAAGGGTGTAAAATAATATTTGTTGATCAGTGTGTATAAGCCTGGTCGTTACCACTCCAGTAATTGCTGTTAGAGACTTGAGGATGGTTTAGGGACATGTTGTATTGTACTAACTGATCAGTCTTGCTTGAGATTTTGTCCTGCGAAGTCTACACCATCATCACATTGTGACTGACGGATGCCGGAAAAAAGTGACAAAGATGGGGTTTTTTTACTAGAAGTACCATTGACATACTTTCATTTCACTCAAACATTACTTCCAATATTCTCATCATTCACAACTCTTTATTTTCGCCAAAAGAAAATTTTAAAAATAATAATTTGTTTTCATAATTTGTGAGTATCATCTTTATTACTCTTCATTCTTATCATCGACTAAATTATTATACATGTTCATTATTTTCACCTCGGTCTTTAAATGAATAACTCTGCTTTTTGTTATAATTGTTTATTACTATCAATAGGTTGTTTGCCCATTCTGACGATCCTGACATAGATGAACCTTTTGAGGCCCCAAAGGATCATGTGCTAGGGAAAGGTAAAATAAGGGATTCATTATGTTCTTTCACAAAATACATGTCCAGCTTGTAGCATTCATTTTTATGTTACAGAAATTACAGTACTCTAATGCAGTGTTTCCCAAAGTTTTGTATGTGTACCCCGGGGGTACGGGAAGAGTTTGGTGGGGGTATGTGCTGCAAAGGAAAAGAGTAAATAGTTGGGTTTTTTTTTGTTATTAAAGTATATGCAATTTATTTTTTTGTGAGGGTTACTCAGTGTCATGAAAATTATAGACAGGGGTACACAGATGTCAAAAGTTTTGGAAACACTGCTCTAATGCACTGCACATATCTATCCAGATCTCATACTGTCATCTGTATATCAAAAACTTCATTAAATAATTACTCTTCTTGATAGGCTACTAATTTCTGTGTGTTTAACTTTTGAGAGTATTTTTGTCTCCCACTTTTAAAATATGTTTTGAATAGATAATTGCAAAAAATGATTTATTTTTTGTTTTCTCCTGCAGCAGATGAAGGAACAGCCAGTACGCCTTCTAGTGATTCTCAAGCTGATACAAGTGTAACAGAAGAGTCTCCAGATGGGGATGCTATGCATGCAAAGTCCTTAAAATGTGATGAGTAAGAATCTAGCTTTATAACACAATCAGGGAGTCTAGATTTACATCACAATCAGAGAGTCTAGCTTTATAACACAATTATAGAGTCTAGATTTACATAACAATCGGAGAGTCTAGATTTATATCACAATCAGAGAGTCTAGATTTATATCCCAATCAGAGAGTCTAGATTTATTACAATCAGCTTTATGACAAATATGAGGTGGAAAAAAAATTATGAATTGAACATTTTGCCAGTTTTCAATTTATAAAGTTTTACAATTTTAAATGGTCACATTGACAAAAGACGATTAATTTCATTTATTATGGCTGCCATTTTATTATATATTTTATTGTTTGAGGACTATTTTAAGAAATTTTTTATTAGCATTGTCAAGGGAATCATTGGGAGTTAAATTACTTACGCCCTAAATGTGGGCACGGGGTTAGGGGTTAGAATGATACAACTTCTGTACGGGGTTCTGTTAGAATGATACAACTTCTGTACGGGGTTCTGTTAGAATGATACAACTTCTGTACGGGGTTCTGTTAGAATGATACAACTTCTGTACGGGGTTCTGTTAGAATGATACAACTTCTGTACGGGGTTCTGTTAGAATGATACAACTTCTGTACGGGGTTCTGTTAGAATGATACAACTTCTGTACGGGGTTCTGTTAGAATGATACAACTTCTGTACGGGGTTCTGTTAGAATGATACAACTTCTGTACGGGGTTCTGTTAGAATGATACAACTTCTGTTCTTTTGCAGGTGTGGAAAGCTTTTAAAAAACCCGATGGATGCACAAGCTCATGCAGCACGTACCCAACATGCAAGTTTCTCCGAGAGTACGGACGAAGTGAAGCCACTCACCGATGAGGAGAAGAGAGATCAGCTAGCAAAGTATGAATAAAAGGATATTTTTTTTTTTAAATAATTTTGTTTTGGTAGGTCCAAACTGTTGATCGTTCTCAGTGCCAGGGAAAGTTGGAGTACTTAAGACACACAATTGTCAAGGGGCTGATAGTTTATAGTCGACTAGACATAAAGTATGCAAAAAGGGCAACAAGGCTATCATTAAAACTAAGAAACATTGGGGGTGTTTTGGATCCATCTTTTGTTTGTTTTGGCTGCAGTCAACATGACCAGGTTTTCCAATTTTTTTAATCTTTATATTTTGTGCCAGTTTGTATAATAATTTTAATTGACCAACCAAATGGTGACCTTAAACCTAATCCATTTTCAGTGCGTGTTGAATATTGCAATTTACTGTATCAAGTTTTCTAACAGCCAAAAGCAAGTGAAGAAAAACGTGGTTACTACCGGTTATCTACCTTTTTTTTTACTACAAGAAACTTGTTTAACCAGGTTGTGAGAGATAACTCTGAAATAATCTTTTTTGCTTGATGAGAAACAAAAAAACTTAAATTTTAATATTGTTAAATGATGAGTGCTATAAATGGTAAACCAGGAAATCAAATAGATATAAAGCACACCTAATTTTTACCTGCGACCTAACTGGATTCACATGCATATTAATTATCCCTTAATTATAAGAGAGGAATGATGTTGAAAGAATAGTTTTCCCCTAACACAGAGATCAGTGACCCTTTCATTAAACTCAATCCACAGATTACAAGAAAGACTTAAACAAAAGCGTGTGGAGAAAGAGGAGCAGGAGAAGAGAGAGCAGATCCAAAGGGAAAAGATGAGGAGAAATCAAGGAAGGGATTTATCTTTAGCCAAACAGAAGTGAGTGTTGTATGTGAGTGTTGTGTGGGACATTTCAAACGTTCTATTTAACTTGTCATGAAATTTGCTCTGTGTTATTTCTCCAGTTCGTGGAGTGTTTTGTGCAGTCTGTTTAAGAAATTAAAAAGTTGCTTTCTCATCTTCTTCTCTTCTTTCTTTGCCTTTTCAACTCCCAGTGGAACATATGCCATTAACAATTTCTTTCAATTTGCATTGGAGCAAAGGCCATTAACCGTTCTCTTTTCAAGCCTTCCAGTTTCTTGTTGGCTTCTCTAACTCTTTCCAAGCAATCTCCACCTTCTTTTTGAATTTCTTGCTACACTGGGTTTTGTGCTGTCCCTCTCTCTGCTGTATTTTGGATTTGTACTTTTATATCCCTCTCTCTGCTGTATTTTGGATTTTGTGGAACCACCTGATTGTTAGGATTCTACCAATTCAACATTTCATAAATGTTTAAAGTCTTTTGACAGTTTAAACTTTGGCATCCAGGACAATTTATCTGGCAAAATGGGCTGACCAATGCCAACTCTGTTGAAAGACATATATCGTGATTTTAAATCCTTTGAATTTCAAACGGTTCTTGTGTAGTTTATGATTATTAAAATATAATATTTGTTATCATTTCAGATTAGAAGAAGCAGAAATGAAAAAGATAGCTGAAGAGCGGAGGAGAGAGAAAAATGAAGAAAAACTGGCCAGGTGGGCATTATAAGTTTTACAATAAACAATTTTAACACAAATTTTGAACATTTCTAATACATCCATTTATTTTCTGAATAAGCCGATAAATTTTAATTGTCATTTTTATTCCAATTGTCTGAAATGAATTACAATTTTTTTATGGCAAGAACTTCACTATAAAATATTCACTATAAATTATTCAGTAAATTAACTTGGCATTCAGGAGTCCAGTTAATTGGTCATAGTAATGCATTCCATTCAGGAGTCCGGTTCATTGGTCATAGTAATGCATTCCATTCAGGAGTCCGGTTCATTGGTCATAGTAATGCATTCCATTCAGGAGTCCGGTTCATTGGTCATAGTAATGCATTCCATTCAGGAGTCCGGTTCATTGGTCATAGTAATGCATTCCATTCAGGAGTCCGGTTCATTGGTCATAGTAATGCATTCCATTCAGGAGTCCGGTTCATTGGTCATAGTAATGCATTCCACACCCATTACCTTAGTTTTCATGACTCCACTTTTCATTGGGCACCAACGTATGAAGAATTCCAAAACAAGGTTCTCACATAGAATTTAATGTGCACATAGCCTTAGAAATATTCAAAGGAACTTTGACTGGGGCAGACAAGAAATATAGTTGAATGATTGTTATTGAACAGGAGGAAGTTGTCTGTGTAGAACAACTGATTGTTTGTCTGTGTAGAACAACTGATTGTTTGTCTGTATAGAACAAATGATTGTTTGTCTGTGTAGAACAACTGATTGTTTGTCTATGTAGAACAACTGATTGTTTGTCTGTATAGAACAAATGATTGTTTGTCTGTGTAGAACAACTGATTGTTTGTCTGTGTAGAACAACTGATTGTTTGTCTGTGTAGAACAACTGATTGTTTGTCTGTGTAGAACAAATGATTGTCTGTCTGTGTAAAAAAAATGATTGTCTGTGTAGAACAACAGATTGAGTCAGATTAGAAAGACAAAGATCAGACTTGTTGAATACATTGGCTGAATTCTTACATAACTTCATTCTCTGACTTCCTAAATAAATTCATTCTCTCAATTCCTACATAACTTCATTCTCTCAATTCCTACATAATCTCATTGTAGGCAAAGAGTTAAAGATCAAATTGAGAAGGACAGAAAAGACCGAGCAGCCAAGGTAAAAGTTATAAAAAAAAGGGACAACGTTAGATCATCAATAAATTTGTTATTTATTATCCAATAACTCTGTAGTAGTAAAAGTATTTAAAGACAGCCTTAGCTCATAAAATATAGATTAATAGTAACTACTTCATCCATACTCTCTGAGAAACTTGCATGCTGAGTACGTGCCGCATGAGCTGGTGCATCCATCTCATTTATTTTTTTTAAAATGATCTATGTTTTTATAACCTAAATGTAATCCTGCTGTCAAACGTGTACATTTCTTAGCTGGCTAAAGAGAAAGAGGAATCTCATACGAGTGCACCAACAGTGGCGGTGGCATCACCTGAGGCCGTGCCCAGTCCTTCGGCCGCTCATGTACAGAAGGAATACACTGACTGTAAATTGCAGGTATGTAACTCTGTGAACATTCGAGGCTTCTTCCATCAGACCATGATTTAATGAAAAAGACTGATTAAGTTCTTTGTAGCCAAGTAAATATCAGGAATGGTTTTGTTGTTATGTGTTGCCAAGTAAATATCAGGAATAGTTTTGTTGTTATGTGTTGCCAAGTAAATATCAGGAATGGTTTTGTTGTTATGTGTTGCCAAGTAAATATCAGGAATAGTTTTGTTGTTATGTGTTGCCAAGTAAATATCAGGAATAGTTTTGTTGTTATGTGTTGCCAAGTAAATATCAGGAATAGTTTTGTTGTTATGTGTTGCCAAGTAAATATCAGGAATAGTTTTGTTGTTATGTGTTGCCAAGTAAATATCAGGAATGGTTTTGTTGTTATGTGTTGCCAAGTAAATATCAGGAATGGTTTTGTTGTTATGTGTTGCCAAGTAAATATCAGGAATAGTTTTGTTGTTATGTGTTGCCAAGTAAATATCAGGAATGGTTTTGTTGTTATGTGTTGCCAAGTAAATATCAGGAATAGTTTTGTTGTTATGTGTTGCCAAGTAAATATCAGGAATAGTTTTGTTGTTATGTGTTGCCAAGTAAATATCAGGAATGGTTTTGTTGTCAAACCCGCAATCAAGGTTTATTCTGTTTTTTTCCAGTGTACATTTACATCAACAAACTTACTTGTAATCTGTGTTAAAAAATATGTCAAAACTTATTTTTCAAGCACTGGCAAACTAGATTTGCATCTGCAGGCATGAGCTTTATCTTAGGACAATCATTATTTTCGTTTGAGCCAATGAAATGCAATTAAGATAAGATATAATTTTTTTAATGATTAAAAAAAAAGGTTTCAGTGAGATTGTACCTAGATATTTTCAGCGTGTCAAATAAATAAAAGGAATAGGACACAATTTTTGAATATTTTTTTAAAGCACAAACCCATTATTTGTTTTTATAACCGTGGGGGTGGGGGGCAAACATGCTGACCAGTTCTGACAGATTGGAGAACACATCATTTGGAATGTTTAAATTCAAATTGCTATGGCAAAATTATCTGCTGAAGAAAATTACGTCTTAGACACACCAAAGTCTTAGACACACCAAAGTCTTAGACACACCAAATACCCAAATAGAAATATGGTAACAGGAGATAGAATTTTTTTTTTATAATTTATTTCCAATAATGCCACATTAAAATGTTTTAAATTTTTTTTATTTTTATAAGCAGAAATTTGTAACATATTTCTTTAATTCTTAACTACTGTATTTAGGGACTATAAGGCGCTAAGATCTATAAGAGGCACCTTAATTTGTTAAGCATTTTTTAAAAAAATAACATTTATACCATTTTGTATATAAATTTCGAGTACAAGACGCACCTGAATTTTGGAGGCAATTTTTCAAAGAAAAAATTGTGTCTCATAGTCCGTAAAATACAGTAATGCCATATGATTTTGACTATATGTGTCTTTGGGGGGTTCTGAGGGATGCATCCCAGCACGTACAGTCACAACTGTCACATTTTTATTTTAAAATGTCAATGAATTCTTGCCTCCCTCAAGATTGCTAGTCACAGCGTGATTCTGCGTGATTTGAATTTTTAAAAACTGAAGGTTTTTTTTCTTGTGTCACCTTCAATCTATGCAATCTTGAGTACAGTGCATTTCTATCTAGCACATGTTTATCTCAGGTGCCAAAAATTTATTTTTTGGTCATTTCTCGTTATTTACCTCCTGCTAATAGCCTTAATTCATTGATATTTAATTCATATTTAGCAGCTCAAAAACATTGTTAACAAATTGAAAAAAAAAATTTAAAAAAAAAAAAAATTGCAAAGTGGATTAACTTCCCTTTGTTCAGGTACATCAACTAAGTTCAGAAGTAGCATTGTCAACAGAAGATAACAGTGGCAGCATTTTGTGGTGAACTAGATTTATTCATTTACCTTTTCAGATTCGCCTTACAAATGGTCAGGCACTAACACAAACGTTTGGCGCCAAAGAACCTCTGAGTGCCGTGAGGCTGTACATAGAAATGAACAGAACCGACCCTCAGGGGCCATTCAGTCTCATGACCTCATTCCCTAGAAAAGTTTTTACATCTACTGATATGGAAATGCCTTTAGATTTATTAGGTGAGTTTCTTTGTCCGTCACAAATCTTCTTCTGAATGTGTTGAGTGCTGCTTCATAATACCTAAAATGTTATGGTGTTCTAAAAGACCTGCTGTGTAGGTCCTGTGTTTACATTTACTACTTTGAAGGGCGTTCTAAAAGACCTGCTGGGTAGGTCCTGTGTTTACATTTGCTACTTTGAAGGGCGTTCTAAAAGACCTGCTGTGTAGGTCCTGTGTTTACATTTACTACTTTGAAGGGCGTTCTAAAAGACCTGCTGTGTAGGTCCTGTGTTTACGTTTACTACTTTGAATGGCGTTCTAAAAGACCTGCTGGGTAGGTCCTGTGTTTACATTTACTACTTTGAATGGCGTTCTAAAAGACCTGCTGGGTAGGTCCTGTGTTTACATTTGCTACTTTGAAGGGCGTTCTAAAAGATCTGCTGTGTGATTTCCTGTGTTTACATTTACTACTTTGAATGGTGTTCTAAAAGACCTGCTGGGTAGGTCCTGTGTTTACATTTACTACTTTGAATGGTGTTCTAAAAGACCTGCTGTGTAGGTCCTGTGTTTACATTTACTACTTTGAATGGCGTTCTAAAAGACCTGCTGGGTAGGTCCTGTGTTTACATTTACTACTTTGAAGGGCGTTCTAAAAGACCTGCTGGGTAGGTTCTTTCTGTGTCTACATTTGCTACTTTGAATATGAATGGAAAGCTAAGTTTATTTCCCTGATTTTCATAATGTATTTTTTTTTTTTTCCACTGATATTTTGATTTGACCATTTCTTTTTGCATTTTTATTTTTCAGGCTTGGTGCCAGCTGCAGTATTGATGGTGACAAAGCCCCAGTGATAGTTTTTTGTTTTTTTTAAATTGATATGCAAATTTATAAAAGCATTAAAAAAAAAGAGCTCTAACCTCCCTTCCAGATGCCGATTTGGACACCACAATAAGCCCGCAACATCTGTCCACTTTGTTTGCTTTGAAGCCATTTAGACTTTTAAATGGGAGCTGTCTAATTATCATATCATTATTCTTGTTTGGAGGATACCAAACAACACAAGAGTTGAATCTAGAGTAAAGATTCTCTCAATCATCTTTTAGTGAAATCATATTTTGATAACATTTCGTTCATGAAATATTTATTTCCCATCAAAATGTATTCTCATCATGCCAGCTGAAGGAACAGGTCATTATTTAAATCATTTTAAACGCAGTATAAAAGCTACTTATTACTTTAATAGACATACCCCCCCCCTCCCGACCCATTACACACTTAACTTTTTAACCTCCCACTCGGTTAATTTCCATTTATAATTATGGGTTTTATAAATTGTTGAAGAGTTGTAAATCTTTACCAAAATAAAAACTTATGTATTTATAATGATATCAGAAAGTTTACGACAACAATATAAATGGCTTTGATTATGTTCTTTAACTTAATAAATGCTTATTATTGATTTCTTTACAAAGATTGTGTTCAAAGGAGTTTTTTCTTACTGGTCATAGAGTCAGACTTTTATATTTTTTCTTAAAGAAGCCAGAACTTTTCTAACTTACCATTTGAAAAACTGGCGCTTAATTGGGTCATTAAAAATGTTCAGTGTGATGACAGATTTGAGGACATTCATTACCCAATGTGATCATTTCCTCCAAAAGTAATTATTACTTCAAAGATTTTCATTTATGTTTGTTTGTTTTTTTTAATTTACCCACAGAAATATATGTGCACTGTTTGTTTCAAATGTATTATCTGTGCGAACAGTTGAAGATAACTGAAATATTTAAATAAATGTGGTTTTTTTAAGTTTAAAAAAAATCTGTCACTGTCAATAATTTAAATACAGCTTTGGTGAATGGTTCTGAGTTCTCTCTTTGCTTGAGTAGCCCGTTTTATCAGGGCCACAAGCTCTATTTTATCAGGGCCCCAAGCTCTATTTTATTAGGGCACCAAGCTCTATTTCACGTTGAAAGTCAAGTCTCGTAATGATTTGTTTGTTTCTAGATACTGAAACAAAAATAAATGTTAAGGTGTTACGAATACTTCTTGATTTTTGTTTCACCAATGTTGAAACTTGATATCAAAACTTGATAATCAAACTTTATATTAAAATTTGATAATCAAACTTTATATCAAAACTTGATAATCAAACTTTATATTAAAACTTGATAATCAAACTTTATATTAAAACTTGATAATCAAACTTTATATCAAAACTTGATAATCAAACTTTATATTAAAACTTCATTTATAAAAGGATTAGCAGTGTTGTAACCTCTATTATTTATTATTATGATGCACTTATGAAAAGTTTGTCGGAGCTTTGTCCTCGGCAATAATAAATATAATCCAAAATAGAAATAATACTTGGCATCAACTTGTTCACCAAGCAAAGCCAGAAAATAACATAAAATACCTGCACCCAAGTTTCTAAGTTATCCTATTTCAAGAATCTTATTTCACATTTCAGTAATGGTAAACAAATTGTTCTGGATTACAATGGAACAGATATAGTTCTTTAAAAACTTTATGTAGACGGTCATCTGCGTAAGTCTAAATTAATTTTTTGTTTAGTTTTTATTTTGTGTGTTATTATTTTTTGTGTTATCATTTGTTTGTTATTATTTCGTTTTTTATTATTTTGTGTGTTATCATTTTGTTTGTTATTATTTTGTTTGTTATTATTTTGTGTGTTATCATTTTGTGTGTTATCATTTTGTGTGTTCAAAAGTTGTAAGCATCTTGTGAGGTTTCTTTCTGATATTGTAATTGGTATAGATGACAAACAGTTGTGTGTTTAAATAAGTGATAGAGCAGATGGTGTAGGGGAAAACATATTTTATTAAATTCTCGTTCATGGCCAAATTTGTATAAGCATGAACATTTTCAAAAACTACTAAAAACAAGTTAAAATCATGGATCTTTCCGTAAATATTTCTGAGGATGCTGATGGTCTTTCCACCGAACCCATTGCTACTTCTTCATCATAATCAATTACAATAAAGAAATATAGCATTCGCCTATTTCAGACAAATTTTTTAAGTCTCTAAGGCTAGCAAAAATTAGAGACAAATATAAATGTAGCAAAACAACATTAAATGTAAAAGTTTTTTTTTTAAAAATAGATATTTAATACAACAGCATTCTGGAATTATTTGCACATCTAAAATTTGTAATGAAAATACAAATTTCAAAACATTGATTGGCCATCCTTTATCCCTAATCTCCCACAAGTTCAATTTATCCTTAATCTCCCACATCTTCAAATAATCCTTATTCTCCCACATGTTCAACTTCATGACCATGGATAAAATCTGGTCGGTTGGAAATCCTACATTTTGTCACTTAACTCTCTAAGGGCGCCAGTCAGGTTTTCAACATTGTACATGATAAACCTAATGACATTTTTTAAAAACCTTTTAAAACATTTAGTTTAATCATTAGACAGCAAATAAACTTTTAAACATATTTTAAAGGACATGCGGATGCCCTAGATATTAATACATAGTAATGATTTTTGTTGTTGAAAAATATCGGATAAAGGAATATGGAGAGTTCCTCCATAGGTAACAGCAACCTTTTTCAAGTTGCTCGAGAATTGGACACATAAAAATTAACAGGCTAAATGCTTACAAAATGAAAATTATTGAATTACACAATGTCACTAAGAAGACATCGAGCAGCACTCGACAAGTTCTCTGTTGTAGTATACTCAGTAACTAAAATGTTAAGTGTCTTGTGATTAGATCATTAGTACCAGTACAGTTGAATTGGTCAACATCAAAGTTATTCTGTTTGATCAATCATTTTCTATTAAAAAATTGGATTCTTCACTGAAATTTTTAGGATTTTCTTATTTCGTCGGTGCCAGTAAGAGGAAAATAACGTACAATCTCAAGTACTGGTATAAAGGTTGCACTTCATATCTCCATATTAACAGCGTACAAAGAATGGCTTATAAAGTATAATACTCAATTTTGAACATTCACTTACATACTAATGATTAACATTAATTTATTGGACAACATGTAAACCCACTGCATCAAATTACAGTTAAACATTTTTTTTAATGTACACTGGGCCCAAACGTCACAAGTATCATTTATTCTTATTGCCCCTTCTCTGTTTTTGGTTCTATGGTCCACTTGATTCCATCCCCTGGCATTTTTAAGCGAACAGGAAGCAAAAGACACAGTAAAAACTCCAAAAGATTTCCGAACGCGCTGTGTAAGTTCTCTAGAACTGATCTGCGCCTGTAGGCCATAATTTGTTTCCACGCCTCGTACGATGTCTGTCCTCTGGAGATGATGACGACTTGCCACACAAGGAAAAAGAAAGAAACTCCAAAACAGAAGATTGTCAGGCACAAATGAGTGAGAACAAAAATATTGATGAAAGATGTCGCTCCAGTCAGGAAGTACCAAAGTGCCACCACAGGGACGTAAAATACAGCGGCACTGCTGAAGATGGGGAATCCCTGAAAATTGTAAATTTTATCAAACTTATTTTTGTATTACATGTACAGGTACATGGACTGGTCCTAATAATATTCATGTCCCTTATAAAATTGTATTGGTTTGACTTTAATTAACATTATAATTTAGTTGTTTTTATAAATTAGTGGTACCTGTTAGTAAGTCAATTAAGCTTCACTTTTTTAAGCAATGTAATACCTAACATAAAACTATTCATAAAATATAAAAGTGGAATGGGATGTGATTTTTTAATAAAAATCTTTGTTTTTCTGATAACGACCTCATTTTTTTTGGCATTCGTCCAATCACATTGTGATGTCGGTGTGGACTTGGCAGGACGAAAACACGAGGCCTTTGATTTTCTAAAGGGTGATAAGCTGGTTCCCTAGACAGCAAATCACCTCTCTCCACACACATGGATAACCCAAGGAACATCATACATGGATGATACAGCTTGGCACCAGTGGCATCACAGGAGTTGCCTGAATTGGGTCAATGTCACTGGACTTCATCTCCAGGTTTTGAATTCAGAGTTTTCCTTCTTTTAGATGAGTTGCCATCCAAGGTTAGCAAGTCCCATCCACCTGGGATGCTGGCGATGTTTTTGCTTGTCTAGGCTTTTACTAACAGCCGAAACGTTCTTATCTTATTGTTCTGTCCTTAAATTCAAGCTTCCACATACCTGGTTTTGCTATTTCATTTACTTGATTTGAATGCAGTCCTTTAATTATTATACTAACAGCTACCACAGTTAATCTTGACATATTAACCTTACAGGAACTGACAGTGAAATGATGTGACTGCATGATTTGCAGCAGTGATTAATAAGATGCTTCAATTAAAAATAATTTCACTTCTTAAAAATGTAGATCTTTTACCTCATTTAAGTAGGTAAGTTGCAGATAACCAGCATACAAAAGGGAAAGACAATTATACAGGCAAAAGATGACAAAATGGCGCTGGTTGTGATAACCCACACAAGACCCAGTGAAGAAGCAGTGATGGTCGCGCTTAAGGATACATTGATTGCACAAGGTGCAGTGGTGAGATCTTTGCGGAACATCGATCATGCACGTTAAACATGATTTCCAACCTGGAAAAAATTCATACGTAAGTTGACATTTTTTTTATAAAAGTATTCATCCACGTAAAATTCACCCCCAGCCACATAAGATAATTTGATGTGCATATGTAATATATAATTTGTATGAGTTGGGATGGTCACAATATATAAAAAAATAAAAGAGATAGAGAGACAAAGATGCAGATCTATTGGAATTCATTTTAATTAAATCAGTATTTTAAATTTTATTTCATTCATACATTAGGTTAGTTGTACACAATAGATAAATAATGTTAGCAACATAAAATTGGAATTTTAAACCATCATTATGCTCTTTTGACCCCCCCCCTCCCACCCACCTTTTTTTTTGTTTGTTTCCTTTTTCCTCTTTTCGTTATTGTCTGAAACTACTTGTGAGAGAAAAATAATAATGGATAAGAAAGGTGAAGAGATGAAAAGTGTATCATAGTTGCAAAGTGTACTCCATATTCAGTCCTTGCAACCAAACCGATTAAGCTAAATGTTGGATTAGTTGAATATAGAAAATAAAATGTCATTTATTATAACTGTGTCGTTAAACAAAAATATTGAAACATTTGTTATTACCAGGTGGCGCTGCGAGCATATCGGGGAAGTACTTGTCTTTTGTCTCCTTTAATACGTGGTTGATACTTGCAAAATGTGTCAAAGACCAATTGGCAGCAGATGCTAGAAAAAGCCATATGGCAATAAGCTGAGCACATCTGTATGAACTAAAATTAGATGTCTCAGATGAGACAGAGTTATCCTCTTTGAAATGATTTGGAAGCAGGATGAAGATTCCCTCAAGTAATAAAGAGACTGACATGGTCCAAAAAAATATCATTCCATACGTGGATGCTGAGGATTTTTTAGGCTTAAAATCCCGTTTCTGGTAGTGTTCGGTTAGTTTTTCTTTTAGTGTTAAATGCTTCCGCTCCATTGTTGAAGTTTTCTGCAGGCCGGTAAAAACGGGTCCAAAGCTATTTTATACCTATTGTTTCAAATTATTTATGATCACTTGTATATTAGGCCTATATAGTTTTTACATATTAGAATTAAAAATAATAAATATTGCATCCCATTAAATTTATTATATTTTATAATAATATGACTTTAATATAATAAAAATAAAAAGTATTTTATTAAAAGTAGTTAAAATGTGATAATAGATAAACGACCACCAGCTGCACCATGCTGCCTAGTCCTTAACTTAATTCTTATGATTATGCAGCTGCCTAGTCCTTAACTTAATTCTTATGACTATGCAGCTGCCTAGTCCTTAACTTAATTCTTATGACTATGCAGCTGCCTAGTCCTTAACTTAATTCTTATGATTATGCAGCTGCCTAGTCCTTAACTTAATTCTTATGATTATGCAGCTGCCTAGTCCTTAACTTAATTCTTATGATTATGCAGCTGCAATTTTAATATAAGAATTAACCCAAAAAAGAAAAACAATTATAATATATAATACCAAGATATTCTGATTCTTTACTTTTTGACTTTCATTTCTTCCTTTTTACTTTGGGTTTTCCCAGAAGAAAAAAAAATGTTTTGGCACTGTATAATCTATTGCCTATAGCATTTAAATCTATGCCATATTTTATTATTGTTTTAGGTTTAAAAGATTTATTTAAAATGTGCCTTATTCTGAATTACTATTACTATTACTATTTAATTATTTCTCCACCCCCACCCACACTCACTGAAATGAACGCTAGGCACGGAATTAACGTAAACACGAGGCATGATGTTTACTTTGGTGGTTCCTATTTTTTTTTCTCAAAGTAGACTGAAGACTAGCGTGTCATGAGTATGATGCCATGTAAAAAAATTCATGTCCATGTATTTATTAACTATTGTAACATGAATATTTTGAAACTTTTCAGTGATCCTTCTACTTCTATTCTTTTGTTTTTACTTTAAAATCTACGGTGCGCACAGAATTAAGTTCATGTACTTCGACGATGCACAAAAATTTCACCACAGCTCATCATCTTTATTCAGTTTTTTAACATATAAAAAGACATATGTGGCTGCACATACGGCACTGTAAATAAACTGAAACAAGTTGATTACTCTCGTCCACCGTCTTTCTTATTCATTCATTTTCCTCGTGCGGGTTTTTTTTTTACTGCAAGGGAGGTCACTCTTATGGCGCGTTGCCAGGGGACTGTAAATATAAACGGTGTATATGTATTCTATTACTCCACACTTAATTTTTGTACGCCGTTATAAAATAATAAAACCACAAAACCGTAAACATGATTGTCAAACATGTTCCATATATTTATTATCTTTAAACTGTGTGGGAATTGTAAGAAATTTCAAATTACAAAATCAAACTCTACGACATCAATTCATTAATGTTTAAATGAAAGGATTGCCTATATTTAGAAGCGTTCAAACCTTGACATGATTGTAATGAACAGCTTGAGACCCAATTTTTTTTTAAAAATGTTTGTGTCCCAAAGTTCCCCCATATTGCTAACGATCAATGAAATGTTAGATATAACTATGAAGATTACACATTTTTGTGTGTGCAAATAAGCAACATTTTATTTTCCACATGGTAGGCCTACTATCGATAAGAAAAAATGGGGATCTGCCATAGAGACACCTTTAAACATGATTGACTATAGCACCACTAAGCTTGTAAATGACTCAATGTATAAAGAAGGCACGCTTGCCGGGGAAGACCGCTACAAAAGGTAAGAGTTAACCTTCCCTACAGCATCCATCCTAATGGCACCAGGCCGGGGGGGTGGGGGGGTGGGGGGCGGGCGTCACACTCGAGCTACTCAAATGCGAGAGGATATATTCTGATGGAGGCGCAGGTTTAGGGGCGCTAGATCCTAGATGAAGATGTCAATGGTTAGGTTATGCGCCATTGGTCCATCTCTAACTCGACACATCATCAAAATACGAGCTTTATGTAAAAGGCTCAGTTACGGCATTCGATTAAGGACACACATACGATGTTTGGGTAAAAGAAATACCATGTTAGGCAGCGGCGTACCTTGACATATGCCGCCTGGGGTCAAACCAGTTGATGTGCGCCCCCAAACACACACTCATTTATATGCTATAACAAAAGTATACACCAGGGCAGTCCCTCCCCCTCTGTACCCCTAAGTTCGCCATTGATAAAAGGAATAGGTCAAACACACACCATACCAGGCTAAGATGACAGACCATCAAATGCAAGATGAAGATATACCATCAGGCTTAGATGACAGACCATCAAATGCAAGATGAAGATATACCATCAGGCTTAGATGACAGACCATCAAATGCAAGATGAAGATATACCATCAGGCTTAGATGACAGACCATCAAATGAAAGATGAAGATATACCATCAGGCTAAGATGACAGACCATCAAATGCAAGATGAAGATATACCATCAGGCTTAGAGGACAGACCATCAAATGCAAGATGAAGATATACCATCAGGCTAAGATCACAGACCATCAAATGCAAGATGAAGATATACCATCAGGCTTAGATGACAGACCATCAAATGCAAGATGAAGATATACCATCAGGCTTAGATGACAGACCATCAAATGCAAGATGAAGATATACCATCAGGCTTAGATGACAGACCATCAAATGAAAGATGAAGATATACCATCAGGCTAAGATGACAGACCATCAAATGCAAGATGAAGATATACCATCAGGCTTAGAGGACAGACCATCAAATGCAAGATGAAGATATACCATCAGGCTAAGATCACAGACCATCAAATGCAAGATGAAGATATACCATCAGGCTTAGATGACAGACCATCAAATGCAAGATGAAGATATACCATCAGGCTTAGATGACAGACCATCAAATGCAAGATGACGATATACCATCAGGCTTAGATGACAGACCATTAAAGGCAAGATGAAGATATACCATCAGGCTTAGATGACAGACCATTAAAGGCAAGATGAAGATATACCATCAGGCTAAGATGACAGACCATCAAATGCAAGATGAAGATATACCACTACGAAAATGAAGCCCATGAATGTGGGGAAAGAGTTTGTACCTTCATATCGTGTACCTAGAATAACATCTTGTTTGAGTAGCCATATTCTTTTTCTCAAATCTCAAACCAATGTACCTAGCATAACATCTTGTTTGATTGGCCACATTCTTTCTCTCAAACTTTCAAACTCTCTAACCCGTGTACCTGAATACCATCTTGTTTGATTCGCCATGTTCTTTCTCTCAAACTTTCAAACTCTCAAACCCGTGTACGTAGAATAACATCTTGTTTGATTAGTCATATTCTTTCTCTCAAACTTTCAAACTCTCAAACCCGTTAACCTAGAATAACATCATTGTTTGATTAGCCACGTTCTCTCTCTCTCAAACTAACTTCGATGTCTTACGAAATTCTACTTTCATTTCGAAACGACTTATGAATAAAAGCTGATGATTTTCTAAAGAAAGAACAAAATCACTAATTTTGTGATAATCCTCTTAAATAAGGGGGCTCAACTCTCGCAAATTCAACTTTGTCATCACAGCCGAACACAAAATCGATTTCCGATTATCGCCAATGCCAAAAAAATCAATGTTCTGTGTAGGCCTAACTTTAAAAAAAATAAAAAATGGTGCTTTGGGCTCTGTTGTAAGTGTGCAGTAGACCCGAGACTGCTGAATCGTCTGTGTTATTGTATGATTGTAACACAAGGGTTCTTTGCAATAGATGTGTTACGACTTAGCCTGCACGGTAACTACTTTGATCAAAATAATTCTCTTGAAGTGAATATTTAATTTTTAAAAATTAGTGCCATTTATGTATTTCATATAAATTATAAATTCAGTTAAAAGAATTTTTTTTTTTTTTTTTTAAATTTGGTGCTTAACTTTCCATCGGCTACCACTACCACTGTAGGGGGGGGGGGGGGGGGAATCTGTTCTCAGTACACGCCAAACAAAGTGACGAACTAGGCAAGATATCTCTGTAGGTTAATGAAAAGATGGTTTAGAGGCTACTGGAGTATTTATAGACACATACATACTGGACTAATAAACGGTGAAGTCCAGTGCTAGTGTTTGACAACATGATTCTAGAACTGTAAGCTTGTACTTTTGTCTTCGTGTTTAAACGGACAAGAATCAGCTACTTCTGGCCAACAGATTGTATTCTTTAAAGAAATATTTAATTCTTTCAACACGAAGTTACATGAAAAGCTTACACCGGTATGTCAAAAACTCGTTGAATTTTAAAATCAATACTAATCTATATTTCAATAAAGGAGTTGAAAAACGACCTCATTAATTCAATAGGGCCTTATATAATAGGTCATGGGTAGGCCTAAACGAGTTTTAATGACATGGACTCAAAACCCCAATAGACTCCCACTGCCAAGTAGGGGAGTTCACTAATAATTCTTCTGGCACTGGATATAAATGATTGATTTACGCGTGGTGTGTGTTTGAGAGATTATTAAGTTAGTGAACGCACTTCCCGGGCTTGACTTGGTGACGTATTTTTATGCTTATTATGACGTATTGTCTAGTCTGTTGTGTGACGTACGTTTTAGCCGTCTGACAGTCTTGAAAGGAACTGTGTGTGAAAGAAGGATGTGTTTGATTTCTGTCTGATAGCGTGCTGCGCTAGATACATGTGTTTATGGAATTGACAGTCTGTGAATTACATTAGATATTCAAGTTTCATGTCTTATGATAAAGGACTTGAGTTGATTCGGGGCTAGTTCGACGTATTGCAACGCGTGGAAGAAGTCGATGGGTAAACCAATGGAGTACACACAAAAGAGTTTGAAACCCAGGATACCTACAGACGGCACGGCACAGACGGCACTCCACAGACGGCACGGCACAGATGGCACGCCACAGACGGCGCGGCACAGATGGCACGCCACAGACAGCATGGCACAGACGGCACGGCACAGATGGCACGCCACAGACAGCATGGCACAGACGGCACGCCACAGACGGCACGGAACAGATGGCACGCAACAGACGGCACGGCACAGACGGCACGGCACAGACGGCACGCCACAGACAGCATGGCACAGACGGCACGGCACAGATGGCACGCCACAGACAGCATGGCACAGACGGCACGCCACAGACGGCACGGTACAGATGGCACGCAACAGACGGCACGGCACAGATGGCACGGCACAGATGGCAAGCCACAGACAGTACGGCACAGACAGTACGGCACGGCGCGTACGGCATGTTGATGTTATTCATCACGACTGACAGGCAGGTTGTTTGAATATCATTCAAAAAGTCGAACGTCTCAATAAATAACCCCCCCCCCCCCAAGCCATCATCCCAAGAACACTGGACCAACTTCAGCGGAATAATGTGTGTAATGTGCAGGCAGTGTGTAGAGTGTAGGTTATAGTGTGTAGAGTGTAGTGTATAGTGTGTAAGAGTGTAGAGTGTAGTATAGACAGAGCGTGTAATTGTGTAGTCTTATTTTTGTCTGATAAAATTTAAAGACATTTTCTTAGTTCACAAATGTTGCTTTTTGTCTTCAACAATTCAATGACATTTTGTTGTTGCCTTTCATCGTCATCTGACAGAGGTTGTTTTGTTGGACGTTTGATATCTGACAGAGCTTGTTTTGCTGGACGTTCGATATCTGACAGAGGTTGTTTTGCTGGACGTTCGATATCTGACAGAGGTTGTTTTGCTGGACGTTCGATATCTGACAGAGCTTGTTTTGCTGGACGTTCGATATCTGACAGAGCTTGTTTTGCTGGACGTTCGATATCTGACAGAGGTTGTTTTGCTGGACGTTCGATATCTGACAGAGCTTGTTTTGCTGGACGTTTAAAATGAACTAGGTTTGGTTTATTTTAAGCTAACTACTAATTTTTTTTTTGTTATGTTTTGGTGGAGTGGGGTAGATTTGTGTCATGCTGGATGAAATCAGGAGCTGTCTTAGGATCCTCATTTATTGAATCAACATTCACAATTCCCTGTGTATGACGTTCTAAAAATAGCGCAAGTGCGTTTGGACTTGGTGCGTAGTATTGTATTTAGTTTGACGGGGGAAGTATTCCCACTTTAACTTTAAATATGGTGGTAGAGATGTGTGTGTGTGTGGCGTCAAAGTCGGTGACGTATTAGAATCTTAAACACAGTTCAAGGGCGTGACAAAATGTGTGCTTTAATGTACCAGGGGAAAAAAAATGGGGGGGGGGTGGGGGTGGGGGTGGGAGGAGCACTAATTGGGTTGTGTATCAAGTGCGTTCCTCCAATGGATGTGTTTTCTCCCAAGTCCATTGATCAGAGGGGGGGGGGGGGGGGGGGGGGGGGGGGGGGGGGGGGGGGGTGGGAGGAGCACTAATTGGGTTGTGTATCAAGTGCGTTCCTCCAATGGATGTGTTTTCTCACAAGTCCATTGATCAGATGGGACGTTCGAGCATGGCACGCGCCATTGTTTGTGCGCCAGGATACAGCCAACCTTGATAACATTAACAGATACACTATAATGTACTATAGTACACAAGTAGGTCAAAGGCATGAGATTATTGTGACGCACTTACGCATACTCGAACGCGTAAACTATCTTATTCGCAAAAAGAAGTACATTTTTTTTTAAACTTAAGAAGAAAAAAATTGCACGACAGGCCGATTTTGTCACACCCTCGGTACTCCTCGGTACTCCTCTGCCACACCCTCGGTACTCTTCTGCCACACCCTTGGTACTCCTCTGCCACACCCTCGGTACTCCTCTGCCACATCCTCGGTACCAATCTGCCACACCCTCGGTACGCCTCTGCCACTTCCTCTGTACTCCTCTGCCACACCCTCGGTACGCCTCTGCCACACCCTCGGTACGCCTCTTCCACACCCTCGGTACGCCTCTGACACACCCTTGGTACGCCTCTGCCACACCCTCGGTACTCCTCTGCCACACCCTCGGTACGCCTCTGCCACACCCTCGGTACTCCTCTGCCACACCCTCGGTACGCCTCTGCCACACCCTCGTTACGCCTCTGCCACACCCTCGGTACGCCTCTGCCACACTCTCGGTACGCCTCTGCCACACCCTCGGTACTCCTCTGCCACACCCTCGGTACGCCTCTGCCATGCCCTCGGTACGTCTCTGCCACACCCTCGGTACGCCTCTGCTACACCCTCAGTACGCCTGTGCGTAAAAAAAAACCAACAAGATCTCTTACATTGTAATTTCTCATGTTCTTATCAACAAACTCTGACAGCATTGTATGGGACAATTGAGCTAATCATGGGATTCTTTGATCTGTTTCAGCATTCTTCATCTCCTTTAGGCTGGTGGTTCACAAGTCATTGTGATGTTGGACCAAATCGAAATCGCCCATTTACAGTAGTCGCCACGTGATAATCGATCATCAACGATGCTTTTGATAAACGCTTTGATGTATGAGTCGATATTTATTGTTCAAACTCGGAACTAACCGCCCAGGAAACAAAGACAGGAAAAAGGCGTAAGCTTGGATCACTATGGGTAAGAGCGTAGCAAATTTGACTCTGACCGAAAAGCTGCACCGGCATTACGACAGCCGCAACTTCCAGCCCCAAGACTCGTCAATGACATGCTTTGCGGTGTCGGTCGTGTGGGTGAACACGCTGAGTCTAGCCGCCGAGGGCCTCCTGGTGCTCTTGCCATCTCACCACCTGAGCGGTGACCAACGGAGCGGCGGGGACACGGAAGCCGGCGGCCGAGCCGTGCCCGCGGGCTACAGGTGGGCCCAGGCGGCCGTGGTGTGGCTTTTAGCCGAGACCGTGTGTCAGTGGTGGTTCTTACGTGACGGCTCGCGGAATATCGTCCCGAGAGCAAGGGGGCCACCAGATGGTAGCGGGGCACCAGATGGTAGCGGGGCACCAGATGGTAATGGGGCGCCAGGAGGCAACGGGGCACCAAAAGGTAACTATTTTATTTAGATATATTATAGTAATATACGTGGTATATCCAATGTTGTTTCGTCTGTCGAATCTACAGTACCCATTTAGTATTGGGGGCTGATTCTCCCTGTGATAGCACGGATGGCTGATGTGAGCGCTTCTGGAACGAAATGCTGTTGTGCATGGGGATGGATGGGAACACATCTCCAGATACAGTAGTGTCCCCGGCAATCAGTACCAGGGTTGTCTTTTCGTGATCAGCAGCAGCTGTTCTACTTGCGCCCCAATCTGAATAACCGTGATCATGACGTCATCAATAGCCCGATTGGTTCTAGTGTTAACATTTTGAATTGCATTTCTCTTTTTCTACTACAGTTAAACACGTAATCATGCTACAGTTAAACACGTAATCGTGCTACAGTTAAACACGTAATCGTGCTACAGTTAAACACGTAATCGTGCTACAGTTAAACACGTAATCGTGCTACAGTTAAACATAGAATCGTGCTACAGTTAAACACGTAATCATGCTACAGTTAAACACCTAAACGTAACTCCTAGTTTAAAAAAACACCACCACATTTTTTGTGTGTGCATTATTTGACCCCTAGGCTGGAGACGCTGTTCTGTGTGCCAGATGGACGCCCCTCCCCGCTCTCACCACTGCTCCATCTGTCAGCACTGCGTCCTAAAGCGCGACCACCACTGCTACTTCTCCGGTTCCTGCGTCGGACTGCACAACCAGCGCCATTTTATCTATTTTCTGATGTACGTCGTCATGGCGAGCACCTATGCTGTGTACATGCAGACCGCCTTCTTACTACGTAAGGTAAAATGGGGAACAGTTTAATGGAAAAAAATAATAAATTCGCTCTCTTAATGTCGCTAATGAATTCCAAATGTACACCAATGAGCCAATTCCAAATGTACACAAATGAGCCAATTCCAAATGTAAACAAATGAGTCAATTCCATATCGACATAAATTAGCCGATTCCACACTTACATAAATGAGCCTATTTCACATGTACACAAATGAGACAATGCCAAATGTACATACATGAGCCAATTCCTAATGTACACAAAAAATCCAATTCGAAATGTACACACATGAGCCAATTCCAAATGTACATACATGAGTCAGTTCCAAACGTACACACATGAGCCAAGCTGTGTTGTCTTAATTGTTTCTGCTGGTGGAGGCATTAAGCCGATACGTCCGCTGTTTTGTTTCGTCTTTTGTTTTCCTTCTTCGAGTTTTCCCCCTACCCTGTGTTTTTTTTTTTAATTCTTATTGATTCCAACTGAAGGCAGTCCTTCCCATAGTATTAAAATTGTAAGGCTTTCCCCAAACCCAGTGGCGTCTACACGAAAAAAAATTGGGGGGGGGTGGGGGCAGCTGCTTTTAATCTGAGTTGGGGGTGTGTGATAACATTGTATGGAAAGACACGTGTTTTTACCACCCAAAAACCGTGTCCCGCCCCGGGGGGGGGCACCTACCCTAACTACGCCACTGCATGAGGCTAGGGAAAGGGAAACACTAATGGCAGTGTTCAACTTATGATAAGAGTTTTGACGGTAAGAAATCATCTGTTATCTCTCGTCCCTTTCTTTTTCTTCCAGGAAGATGCCTCCTATTTGTTCCCGCCCGTCGCCATGTTGAAAATGTTGACGGCCCAGACGACAGTGCTGAGCTTCGTGATCATGCTCCACCTCTACCTCAGTGTCATCTCAGCGTGCGCCGCGCTGGGCTTCATGGGCTGGCAGCTCAACATCATATCCAAGGGGCAGACGTCCTACGAGGCCATGAAAGGGCTGTCCAAATATCGAATGAGAACCGCGTACGCCAACTTCCGGTGTGTTTTCGGGTCACCGCTTCAATGTTGTGCGGCGTTCGTGTTGCCTGTCCGTCCCGCACTTCCGGACAATGGCTTGGACTGGACAGAGTAACGATGAGTGGGTTACTAAGTTACCTTTAAGCTGTACAGAAATCAAACAACGAACAATGACTGTTTTGTTTTTAAAAAGGCCATTAATATATTTTAACAAAGAGGGATGTGCCCCAGGGGCGTTTATCTTTAAAATTAATTTTAAAGACGCCCTTATCACATCCCTACTGCCCCTCACCGCCCCCACCCCACAAAAAGATGTTATTACTTTTTTTAAAAAATTAAATAAATACTAGAGTCTAATAATAAAACTTAACCTGTTCACATAAATGTTCAGAATGGTAGTTTTGAGCAAATGTCTAACTTAAGGCCGATTGCAGCACCATGAAATGAACAAGTGTAACATATATTTTAAAGATTGTGCAAATAGAGTCAAGTATCTAGCTCCTAGGCTCTGATGACAACAACTTTTAACGTAGGTTCATTCTATAAATCTAGACTTTGAAACACAAAGTTTAATAGTATGGATTTCGTTTCTTCACTGTTCAAATTCATGTGCTGTTTAAATTCATGTGCTGTTTAAATTCATGTGATGTTTAAATTCATGTGATGTTCAAATTCATGTGCTGTTCAAATTCTTGAGCTGTTCAAATTCTTGAGCTGTTCAAATTCCTGTTGTTTTTTTTTTTTTCTAATTCTCGTTCTGTTCAAATTCCTGTGCTGTTCAAATTCCTGTACTTTTCAAATTCCCGTGCTGTTCAAATTCCTGTACTGATCAAATTCCTGTTCTGTTTAACTGTTGGTTATGGGTTTGTTGGGCTTTGTGAAGTTGTTCCGAATCTGGTCAGCAGGACTCTTAAGTTTCCTTGTTCTGTCATCTGGAGCTTATTTCTGGGCTGGGGTCAAAGGTCAACAACCAAGCAAATGCCGTGGTCCGACGTCGCCATGGCAACACGAATTTTCCTAACAACTTCCCACGGTGCAGGATAGCGATTGGACATTTTCTTTTGAAACAAAACTCTTGGTACGAGTTAGGGAACTTTGCCACGAGTTACGGAACTTTGCCACGAGTTACGGAACTTTGCCTGTATATCTTATTAATCTGAATGACCTCTTCATTCAACTGTCTCAGTAACTAATAATGGCTTTGTTACCCAATCTCGATGTCAATAAAAAAAATATAAAAAATCCTAAGTCGTCCAGACACATCATGTTTCTACAGCGTATCCCCATGGTACAACAAATACTTCAAGAACATTAGCTGGTGGTATCACAACTTTGCCGTCTGTTGCAGGCAGGTTCGGAAATTGAAATAACACAGCTGTCAACAACAAAAATTAACTTAGGTATTATTACATTAATCTACTGTCCCTGCAACTGCAAATCATTTCATTGAATCAGGAAACAAGGTCTGATCAATATGGATTTTTTTTATTTATTTTACAAATTCTTTGTGATTATCACTTCGACAAAACAATTCCATAATAACAGTTTTAACTAACTGTAAAAGCGAGTCAAACACTTGCCTTTTTTTGGTAGCCAACTAACTGCTGTATGCAGACAGCAACATTGCACAATTTAAACATTAATTTAAAAACTAAATTTTAAATTTTTCATTTCCTAAAAAAAAAATAAATGTAAGACTAAGCATCTTTAACCTCACTCAAGTTTGAAATTCTATCAATACCCAAAAGGGTAGAGTGAGTGTGATGTGACGTCAACTGATACAACCGTCCCAAGCTAGAGCTACTCTCTCACCCAGACGCTAGCTCATGATATTACATCGTTACAATCCTATCAACAAATACTCTGTTCTAAATGTTTCTCAAAGCATACTTAATTAAGTATACTTGCATGGGTTATTTTGTTGTTGTTTTTTTTGACATGATCGATAGAAAACAATGTTAAAATCAATAGGAACATATTTTTTTTTTTATTTTTTTTTTTTTTTTTTTTTTTTTTTTTTTTAACTGAAGAAGTCAGTTTACAAACATGAATTCCATTCAATTATTTTTCATTTGTTACCCCATTTTTTTTTAAAAATCAAACAATAAAATTTTAAATAGTTTTTTTAATCCCAACCTCTCACTTCTGATAACCAGGTACGAATAGCCACTTCGTATAATTAATGTAAACAGTTTCACCACCATTTAATGTCTTTGATAATTCATAATGTAACAAGCTCTTCACTTGACCAGCGGAATTGGTCTCTTTCCTTTTATTTTAACTTTAACACACATTTTTACTTGTCCTGATATGACTGCATTAGTCTAACCACATCTCAGTATCATGTAGTGACAACACGCTTGCCCTGATATGACTATCCATTAGTCTCCTTACATCTCAGTATCATGTAGTGACAACACGCTTGCCCTGATATGACTATCCATTAGTCTCCTTACATCTCAGTATCATGTAGTGACAACACGCTTACCCTGATATGACTATCCATTAGTCTCCTTACATCTCAGTATCATGTAGTGACAACACGCTTGTCCTGATATGACTATCCATTAGTCTCCTTACATCTCAGTATCATGTAGTGACAACACGCTTACCCTGATATGACTATCCATTAGTCTCCTTACATCTCAATATCATGTAGTGCCACCATGTTTTGTTTCCTGCTGAGACGATGCATTCGTCACAAGAAATGAGTGAATTTCTGAAAGACTTTAGCATGCTTTAAGTCCATAAGACCTTCCTTGGCATGTTGGCCGCCATCTTGCTCTTCATTATCGATTAAATAAATACAATTTAAAGTAAACATTTTAATATCAATATTTTGGAATCGGTAAATGAACGATCCACCAACGATTAAAAGATCGGTACTACATTTCTTCTATTCAGGTATGCAGTATGCTGCCAAGCAGAGAAATAACCAATTTGAATATGAATACCTAAAAGTATAACAATTTTTTAAAATGTAGTACTAAAAACTATTCACATAAACAGCCAGTGAAAATTTGGTATTTTAAAAAATTGTTTGTGACATACTCACTTCTGCAATGACATGACATCAGTGGAGTACCTAGAGTTTGCAGCGCCCGGGGCGAGCTTTCACTTTGCCACCCTATTTGAAAAAAAACAACCTCATGCATCAAGCATACCTATAAAAATAAGCTGTGTGAAGTATTTCAAGAGGACCAAAATACTACCACAACATAAGTGCCACATGTGCTGTGGGGCATTTCTCCCCCACTCACTTCCTACGCCCATGCATGGAATATGCTCCAGCTGAGTGAACCTTCAACATAGTACTCACACAGAGAATACCCCTCAATATATTAGAAAGAAAAAAAAAACTTTTATGTCACAATTAATTTGAGAACCTCTGAAATTGTACAAAGTCATACTGCCAATCGGTCCGTGTGAGATAACTTCCCCCCTCCCCCTCTCTTCCCATTTCACCCCCCTCCCGCGCCCAGCAACTTTGACCTCAGAGTTCTGAAAAACATTTGGGAACTTTGGTCTCATTATAACCTGGTGGACCTGGTGGAGTTTCATAATAATGGGGTTTCTCACTGGAATGATGACATCTTTTACACGGATTTCAGCGTCAATGTGTTCAAGTGTTGTTGGTTTTTGTTTAATTTGACGAGCTAATGTAGCGAAATTGTATGGACATTTGTTTAAAACAAGATTTGACGATGTCACAGCAATGTAGCTTCCAGCCTGAGTTCACCACAACTAGCCAGCCAGCAGACGGCACTAAATGAACGCTGGCCCGGGCTAGAGCCGGACCAGAAGTGTAAATATACTACTATCGAACTTTTAACCTAGTTTTGATTGTATGCAAGCGGGTAGAAGTAGAAGAGAAAATATGGCGGAAAGGTAAGTCACTACTTAGCCTAATATAACTATTGAATTACGGGACGCCCCACATAGGCCTATATATTTTATTAGTATGCAAATAAATATTAGCAGCTTCTCGTGCAATGCCTAGACTACGTTTAGGTAATCAATATATTATATATATACTGATAGTTGCAGACTTTGAGAAGCACAGTTTTCAATATGACCAATAAGAACTTTAAAAAAACAATAATTTGTTTGGTAAGCCTAAAAATAACGGAAATATGTGTTACAGTTACAGTATATAATATAAATGAAATAAAAATGTGATGGTTAATTTTTGGAGGCCCTTCTTGTTACTTAAGCACGAGGTAACCTTTTCACAAATACTAAAATGTAAATCGAATGTGATTAGTTCTATTTATATCCACAACATTTTTTTTAAGGCCCGTGTGGGGCAGAGAGAAGAGACGGGGGGATGGTGAGGGGGTCACGACCGTGCCGGGAAATAGCTACGCCCCGGGGTGTAGCCTGAAAATAGCGCCCCAATCCCGTTAAATCAAAATACGGTGTCCTATATAAATATAAGGATAATTTACACTTTTGGAGTTTTTCAAGCTGGCGCCCGGGGTGGTTGCCTCCCCTTTTCGCACGGCCTTGTGGGAATGCTGTGTCACCTTTTTATCGGGAAGTAGGCGTATTCGGTCCTGTGGGGTGGGGAATTCCGAGGTTCGAAAGTCTGGCTCCTTGCCTTTTTGAAATGGTTGGCATTTGGGGGTGGGGGTGATCCGCCCTGGGGGCAACATTTATTTGGGGCGGCATCTTTGGTCAACTTTTAACACATGAAAAAGCCTTTATTTCTGCACATCCTGTGTGGATTGTGTTTTTCGTGAATTGTTGGTGGCAAAATCAAGGACCATCCCTTGCGTCATTAACTATCGCTCAACTACTGGACTGAGGAGGGATGCGTCGACAAACAACATAGAACACATGATACTCATAAGTAAAATACAATAAGACATCCCCCTTTCCATTTTTTATCACCGATTAAACAATAATAATAATCATAAATCTGAGGAGTACATAGCGAGGAATGAGAGCAAACGTGAAGAAATATCATTCACAGTCCAAGCTGTCCCAATGTAGATGACATGAGGTCTAATGCCCTCCCCTGAATTTTGCTAATATTTTGTCCATGCTGAGCCTACTCGTCAAGTTTGTTCTGTAATACCTCAAGAGTACAATCGGTTTACTTGTACCGGTATACAAATTAATCCATTTTTTTGCCAACCTTTTTTGTCCCACGTCCCACCTGAGCAACTAAAAAAAAGTCTCATGCCCCCTGTCCTGTCTACCCTCCCCCCCCCTCAATTTAAAATGTTAATACATGTTCCCAGCGACGAATTACTCCCCCCATAATCCCAATACATGATATACATAAATCTGGTATGAAGGTCAGGCCATGCCTCCAAAACTTTAACGTCAGATGACCACCACAGTGACGTAGGGTGAGAGATGGCACTTTTTTATCTTTATATTGGAAGGCAGAATTTTTCGGCCAACTGCGGAGAAAAAAATAGTGTCCCCTCACTGGTGACGTTGGATTAGAATTCCTGTACAGTTGCGAAAACATTCTGATCATCACAGCGTATTACGTCAATCTCTGTGCAAACATCCATTAGCGGTGCTAACATCCATTTGCACTTTTCAGATAGTTCAACTTAATGTTTCAATTCATTGTTGAGCTGCTTAAAGTATCATGTGTAGGGTGAATAGTCAAGCGGTTGGGGGGAGGGAGGGTGGGGTATACGTTTCTATCTGAGGATGAGGAGTAGCAATTTATAGATTCAAATAATCGAAATAACTGGGAAAGTAGGTGTTAGAAAATGTTGACTGTCAAGGCATTTAGATTTTATTCACCGAACGTGGTAGAGCATGTCAGAGGTTTAGACATCAGAGGTTTAGACATCAGAGGTTTTGACATCAGAGGTTTAGACATCAGAGGTTTAGACGTAAGGATGCCTTTCTGTCATCAGCTGTTCGAGGTCCAAAGAGACATTTAAAACAGGCAAGCTGGTCTGGATGGGACACGTTGAGAGAATGCAAGGCGATGGAGAATTAAAGGTGAAATATAGACAAAAACCAAATGGGAACACGGCCCATCAATAGACCAAGACTGAGATGGACTGATGACGTGGAGACGAATTTACATTAGTCGGCGGTCCGTGCATGGAGACAAAAGGCCACGGAACTGTCCAGTGGAAGGATGCAAGCCAGTGCCCTAGCCGGCCTTTTGTGCCATTGATGATGATGATCCTGTAAACATGCTAAGGCTCTGTTCATATATTTTCAGATGTCCAGTAAAGTCCAGAAGTCGGCGTGATAAGGAAAATGAAATTTTCAGCGAGTTATCCTCCTTGCTCCCAGAAGACTTGCTCCATGACACAAAGCCGGACAAATTGTCAGTGCTTCGAATGACGCTGGCGTATATGAAATGTAGGAGTCATTTGGAAACAGGTCACGTTTTTATAATGAGTCTTTCAGACTTTAACAATACATACACATATATATATATGTGTGTGTGTGTGTGTGTGTGTTTATTTATTTATTTTTTTATTTATTTATTTTTTATATTTTACATACAATTATTTTGCATTTCGGTGAAGCAATAACAATTAATACAGTAGTTAATATGAATATAAATGCAACGTTAGTAGCAGATTTAACTAATTTTAACTTTTTTTCGCGGTGGGTCACAAAAAATAATTAGCCGCGTGTTTAATTAGTATTTATCACACGATTGGTGTATGTTTGGAAGGTCTGTAAATAATGCAAGAAATAATGAACCAAGTTATAAAGCTGTCTTTTTTTATAGTTCTCCTTCTACACCACCAGCCTACCCCCCCCCCCCTTTTTCCGCTCCCTTGACTCCCTCTCTCTCTTTCTCTCTCCCTCCCTCTCTCTCTTTCCTACTCTTTCTCCCTCGTTAATAATAATAATTGTTTTTTTTCCTTTTATTTGTATAAAATTTTATAGAAATCAGGGTGTTCTGTATTCATAAGAACTAAAGAAACTATGAATTGTAGTTAACATTGTAGTACTGACACCATTGTGCACTCTCCAGATTCTGCCGATTTAAACGAGTGCCTCGCACCGGATTCTGAAGAGGATGCATACCCGCCCCAAGATACCTCCCCACCACTCGCAATGTTGGACAACGACGGCAACGTTGTGGCTGGAACGCTGGTCAGTCATAAAAACGCGGTACGCGATTCAGACATCAGTCTACCAGACTCGGTTCTATCCAAGCTGGAGCAGACGTTCCTCTGTGAAAATCCTGGCACGGTCGTGGATGTGGAGCAGAGATACGAAAAGCTCCAGAAATACAAAGAGGGTTTGGAGAGGGGCATGAAGGAGTTTTTGGGCCAGACCTTGGGCGACGCTGCAGTGATCGTCAAGAAGAAGATGCCGGATGTTTCTTCGGGAAAACAAAAGTCGACTAAACGTCCAATTAAAAACAAGTGCATCTTGGCAACCGATCAGGAGAACAATCATAATATGTTACAAAATGGTGTCTCAGGACACGAATTTGGGATCGAGCAGATGTCATCGATTTCCAAAGAGGCATCTCTTATGCTTGAAGCCTTGCCAGGATTTTTCTTGATATTGGACAAAAATAAAAGAGTAATTTTTATATCGCATAACGTGGGAGAATTGTTAGGGTTTTCTCAGGTAAGTTTATGCACTTGACCTGAATGGAATATTTTATACAGCCTAACTGTTAAATAGGTTATCACAATCTGATGAATACTTGTAAAACTACCGTTTAATTTTTTTTTTAAAGTTGCCAATGAATTATATTATAATAAAATAAGACTCAAGAAATGTAAATGTAACCCATCACATATGCAACATCGATAAAGACGTGATGATTAAGATAGTTGTTAAAACATCTTTAAAGATGGATAGAGTTAAAATGCCAACACTTTCTATGACACAATTGAACGATTGGTTGATCACCAGTGTATTGACGCAATTACTATGAGTTTTCTCGTTCTGTGACACTATGCATTGGACACTTTTCCTAACTCAATCATTTTAAATCTTCCTTCTGCTTGCAGTCAAATGTTATTGGTCAGGATATTTCAGATTTTATATTTGACAAAGACTATCATGAGATTGAGAGACAGATGTGTGATGAACAGTTTCAAGGAGGTAGGCCTTAATCTCATTCGAACGTTTTTCTGGGCGTAGATAACTTTTTGTATAAAACAAGAAACTACTAATCTATTTTTGCTTATAAATCGTTAAACAAAACACATTTCTAAACCAATTTATACCCTTTCAGTTTTAGCCGTTTAAAGCTATATTTAATTAAATATTGGGATTCCATTTCAAAATTTTAAATACTATTATTTAAATTTCATGATTTAATCATCAGATAAAACTAAAGGCGTCCAATTCAGAAGTTTGAAAAGAACATTTTATCTGGCAATGAAATTTTGTTTCCAGAAGCCTGGTTCCCGGCACAAGACTTGTGGGTATAAGGTATATTATAAATTTCTTATTGCCACTTTAGAAGTTTTGATAGCAATTATTTTTATTTAAAAAAATTCTCAATAAACTTTTTTAATGTGCATCAGACTTTTTTAATTTTTAATTTTCATTAGCCCTGAACTTAACTAGTTTTTTCCCTTCCAATTAAGGAAGGCTTTTTAAATTATGCTTTATTTTGCGCATTAAAAAAAAAAAAAAACAAAAAAAAAAAAAAAATTTTTTAATTTTTAATTTTTATTAGCCCGTAAATTAAATAGTTTTTTCCCTTCCAATTAAGGAAGGATTTTTAAATAATGCTTTATTTTGCGCATAAAAAAAAAAAAAAAACAAAAAAAAAAAAAGACAATTGGAACCAAGTATATTTAGATTTTGGCCTATTAATAATTTAAAAGAAACAAAATAACGTTACCTGGCATAATATTACACCAAAAATTAAAAATAATTTAAATTTCAATCGTCTGCTGAAGATTTCGAGGGATGCAGCAAAGGATTTTTGGTTTAAACACTTCGAACTTAAGAATTTACCTACACAACTAAAGCCAAAGCATTGTAAATATGTTATACAAAACATAAATAAACTAATAATGAATGCAAATCAATTTATTTAATATATTATATATACTATGACTATACTATACAATATACTTATGACTATTATCACTACTATTCAGTAACGACTTGAAGGTAAATACTAAATACTAAAGAAAAAGGCTGCGACTATTCGCACCCGGGTATCAGAAGTGAGAGGTTGAGATTAAAATAAGATTTAAAATATTATTTTTGGGTTTGTAAGACAAAATGAGGTATCAAATTACCCTGGTCCCTTTAGACTTTAGTTTAGACTTAATTACTAAATCCCATTCCGATGTCATTTTTTTTTTGGTAGTTTATTTTAGTTAAACTGAAGACTGAAGTAAGTTTACAAACATATATATAAATTATATAATATAGTATATTTATAGTCATATAGACTATATGATCATATAATATGATATAATAAAGTCCATTCAATTATCTTTCATTCTGATAGCTGGATGCAAATAGCCATTTGGAATACTAAATTTGACTTTGTCTGATTTGTTTATCAGAAATTATCATTGTATTTTTAAATTATATCAAAAATATTTAAATCATTTTCATTTATTTATATAATTATAATTCGAACTGGATGCATACACCGCGGCGGTGTACCTAGCAAAACCATCGGCTTTGGCCTGCGTAACCGCGGCGGTGTACCTAGTGAAATCGTGGGCCTGGGCCTGGATACAGCGCGGCAAAAATGTACCATTGGCCTGGTTTTAAGATAAGCTTTTTAGAGAAGATCTCGTGTGGTCAAGTGGTAGAGTGGACGCTTGGCGATTTTGAGATCAATTCCCAGTAGGGGATCGAGTTTTTTTTCTTCCCATTTTAGTTTTAAAATATTTTGCAGCAATTTAAACAATTTAAATATATGTTACATTCAGATTATTAAGTGTTTCAACAAGTTGTGCCAGCCTTTGACTTTGAAAATACCGGTAAATTTAGTAATAAGACATTAGAAAACAAACTGAAAGTTTCTCAAAGCGCATGTATATTGTATGAAACATGTATAAGAGAAACATTTTGAATACTAAGTGATATTCTTTTGTATTCAACATTCTTCGTGTAGTTGAATATTTACATTTTACTTTTACGAACACCCAAAGAAAATACCAGTATATCATTAATAGCATATGAATATTAATGTCATTAATGTGCATGGTCGTATTTCAACAATCTTGCTTTCACTATGCCTTATGCATTGGCAAAATGTACACACAATATCAACAGTTCATTCACAGCTCTCAATCTCACAGCAAATCTTTTGAAAACACCTCGATTTTAGAAACTTACGGAACGGTAGCAAACTGTATAGGAAAGCCATAGGTCTGCGTTTACCCTTTTTATGACGGAATTTGTTTCCAGAATGGCATGGCATGTGCTATTCTCAGGGTAAAACACGAAGTTAACTCACAGAAACCATTTCACAATGCGCTTGGGACAGGATTTGCGCTATGTCAAAGTTTTTTTATTTGTTTCTTTTTGTTAAGAAATCGATCCTTGCAGGGGAGGTGGGGGGGGGGGGTGAGTTATGGGCAGAGGCTTAACCAAGAGGGGGGACAAATCACGGCTCTGGATAGGGGTTGTCCACAAAGGACGTCCGCACAACAAACTTACCTTTTGCATCCCCCCTCCGCCCACATTTTTTTTACTAATGTGTAATGCCAATTTAAAACTAAATCAATGATATTTAATTATTGTTAAAAGACTTTTAAAAATCACTGCAGTGTTTTGTATTTATCATCATACTGTTGTTTTCTGTTGACACACTCTTGGTATCATAATAACAATGCCTCGGACAACTTTAACTTGACGATTTCATGATCAATGTATGAGTATGTGATTCTCTTCCCGCACTGTATTTGTGACGGTAATTATATCTTGGTGCTAACAAAATAGATTCACTGGCTTCCCATTCACTTTTACATCACGCCCCGAGGGATAACATACAATTTTACAATTATAATGCCCCCCCCCCCCCACCAAAAACAAGGACAAAAAAAAAAAAAAAAACACGGGGCGGAGAAAAAAAAAAAAAACAATTAATAAATATATTTATATTTCAATATATTGGGGGGGTGGGGGATAAAATGGTTAACTTTAAAAATAAATCATGGTTTAACATTACAGCCCCAGCCCCCTCCCTTCCAATAAATAATAAGAAATGCTTTACAAGTACTTTGCCACATAAGCGTGGAACCTACTAAATATCTTCCCAAGGTACTAAACGAATTTTAAATAGTTTTCAGTTTTAAATCTACATTAACCGGTTAGGCCAAAAAGTTAAAGACTCGCAAAGACCATGGTTTTGCTACTTTAAATCGCTGCGGTGTACGCAGGCCACAATAGTTTTGCTAGGTACACCGCCGCGGTGTACGTAGTGCCGGCCATTATAATTATGGCTGCGGTAATGGTCGAGTTGCTCACCTTTGGTTGGGTGCCCAAAGCCAAAATTGAATGGGTGAATTAAATTAAGCCTTTTTGAAGTTTGCCAATCTGCTTTTAGTTATATTTATAGGCCTAATAACAAAATAGTGTAGTCTGTTTAGCCTGCTTAAATACTAAATAATATCGTTTGTTCCTTTTTTTTGTGTAATTAATTTTTTATGCCTATTATTATTATTATTATTATAATAATATCATATATTAAGAATTTTAAATTTTTTGACCACAAATTCAAATCCTCTGATGAAATAAACTAAACCAATGCCTAAATATGGTTTTGCATAGAATTAGATAATTAGAATAGCAAGTCATGAACACAAAATATTAAAATAAATAAATTATGGTCAAGACATACTATGACTATAGTATAGTAGGCTATACTGCTAAGGCTATAAAACTGAAAAATCAATTGATTTGGTAGATAATTTTGAGAAGCTTGATAATTGAAAGATTTTAGTAATAGTATTTTGTCAAAATGATTGTAAAATCCTTGGGGTAGCACTTGCTTCTCCTTGCTCCCCTTTGCAGATGTCAAAATGATTGTAAAATCCTTGGGGTAGCACTTGCTTCTCCTTGCTCCCCTTTGCAGATGCCCATGGGCGCCATGGCCATGGCCCATGATTTCAATGTGAAATATATTTCAATACTAAATATTTTTCAGTCATAATTAAAAATATTTTTCAGTTTCAATGCTAAATATTTTCAGTTGTTTCGTTGGAATGCAAAACTGAGGCTGTACAGGGATAAATCCAGTGGTGATATCAAAGTCAAGGGTCTGTTGTCTCTGTGCCGTCCAGTAAGAACCGATGTTGTGCCAGAGTTACAGAGATCAGAAAGTATGTTTTACACCAGACACACTCTGGATTACAAATGTATCTACTGCGATCCTAGGTAAATATAATTAAATTTAAATATCCATTTTTTTTAAAAAAGTTGTTCTTGTTCAATGTTATGTACCACTCACCATTTTTTTAAACTTAAATTTCTCCGACCCCCAGCCTCCTCCCTTTTTTTCAACAAAATATGCACAAAGATAAGTTACTTGATGATAGTTTAAAAAAATCAGTTAAAAAATATTTATTTCTGCTAAATTAAGATAATTAAACTAAGAGTCTTATAATGTAAAAAAAAAAGAATTGAAATCAGTTTTGATTCAATTGTTTGTATTCATTAATATTTAAATTACGACAGAAACAGGTGAAATCATATAACTCATACAATTATTTTTTAAACATATTCATATCACAATGTTAAAGTAATTTTTTCAAACACAGGAACAAGCCATCATGTATCATTAAAGCCCTTTATTTATTTGAAGGAATCCTAGGAGCTCTTTGTGCAAGAAAATTAGAAAATGCCTACTGAGATTTTTTTATCTTTGAATTACAAATTGCTTTTGTTTTGTGGATTTAAATGATAAAGATGTAGTTCTGCTTTTTCATAAACTTTTAAACAGTATTGACAATATTCTGTTGTTTTTTCTTCCGAAGAAGGCATCTAGCCGAAACCTCCACTAAATAGTCTTGTCTTTTATTTTCAAGCCTTAACATTTCTTGTTCCACTATTTGTATTTTTTAGTATAGCTCTACTTTATTTAAATAAAAATAAAGATAATATATAAAGAACTCGTTTGTCTCGTATACTGATAACTTAAACTGCTACCGTGATCATGTTTAGTTTCACAAATGATTTTTGTGTTGTTTTTTTCTCAAGAGTTGAAGAACTTTTAGGTTATACCCCAAACAAGATTTTGGAAACAGACGGCTTTCAACTTAAACATCCCTGTGATGTCTTGATGTGTTTATACAAACACAAAAGTGGTAAGCTATAAACGATAATTTTTTTTTAGATATTTAACATCTTTAACCAAACTATCATAAGGCAGTAAATCCGATCAGGGCACGGTGCTCTGGAGACACAACAGATGAGCCTTTTGCTATTCATCTTTTATTACCGAAGTGTTCTTTCTTATTTGTCCAAAAGGTAATTCCATTATTAAGCTGCTCCTATGAAATGCATATAATTTACAAGTAGTTTAATTATGGATTGATTTTATGTATTTGCATTTGATATGAATTAAAGCTGAGATATTCTTTAATTTAAAATAGTTATGAATTTTTAAAAAATGGGCTTGTTCAATCGTTAAAAACATTTTATTTTTTAAATGTATAAGTCAATGCTTGTCATTTGCAAGATTTTGCATTAAATAGATCTCATATTTAAAAATTAGTTAATAATCCTAAAATTAATCTGTGCAAATGGTTCAGGTTTTTATTTTTGAACTATTAGCCTTTTCCCAAGAAATTCAACCATTTCATCATTCATTTAATCTTGAACTGCGGCTAAAAAATGATGGTTTTTTAATTTTGTTTAGAAACTGCTTTATACTTTATGTAAACTCAACCATTACTGTATGGATTATTTGTTGGTTTATAAATTGCTTTGAATATTTTAATGCAAGTTCTTCACCATAATACAAATGTACTCTCTAGACTATGTCCCAGTTTCATTGGTTGTTCATGTAATGAATAGAATTAATTTACCCTAAATGTTCCATTCAGTTGTGATTCAAGGCAAAGGAGACTCGGGCTACTACCGATTACTTACACAAAATGGAAGGTGGCAGTGGGCGTTGTCTCAGTATACCATCGTGTATGACAGGACAGGGCAGCCGCTGCACGTGGATGTTTATACTTATACTGTCAGGTATGTCATCTGTTTTATACTTTTTTACTGTCAGGTGCATCATCTCTGTTCCCTAGTAACAGCTTTTTGTTTTCATGTATTGTGTATGTAAACCAACTTTTTACGTACTTGATGTTAGTGTTGTATAGATACATGCATCAACTTTCTATGTTCTTGATGTTAGTGTTGTATAGATACATGCACCAACTTTCTATGTTCTTGATGTTAGTGTTGTATAGATACTTGCACCAACTTTCTATGTACTTGATGTTAGTGTTGTATAGATACATGCATCAACTTTCTATGTTCTTGATGTTAGTGTTGTATAGATACTTGCACCAACTTTCTATGTTCTTGATGTTAGTGTTGTATAGATACTTGCACCAACTTTCTATGTTCTTGATGTTAGTGTTGTATAGATACTTGCACCAACTTTCTATGTACTTGATGTTAGTGTTGTATAGATACATGCATCAACTTTCTATGTACTTGATGTTAGTGTTGTATAGATACATGCATCAACTTTCTATGTTCTTGATGTTAGTGTTGTATAGATACATGCATCAACTTTCTATGTTCTTGATGTTAGTGTTGTATAGATACATGCATCAACTTTCTATGTTCTTGATGTTAGTGTTGTATAGATACATGCACCAACTTTCTATGTTCTTGATGTTAGTGTTGTATAGATACTTGCACCAACTTTCTATGTTCTTGATGTTAGTGTTGTATAGATACTTGCACCAACTTTATATGAATGTGATGTTAGTGTTGTATAGATACTTGCACCAACTTTCTATGTTCTTGATGTTAGTGTTGTATAGATACTTGCACCAACTTTATATGAATGTGATGTTAGTGTTGTATAGATACATGCATCAACTTTCTATGTTCTTGATGTTAGTGTTGTATAGATACATGCATCAACTTTCTATGTTCTTGATGTTAGTGTTGTATAGATACATGCACCAACTTTCTATGTTCTTGATGTTAGTGTTGTATAGATACTTGCACCAACTTTCTATGTACTTGATGTTAGTGTTGTATAGATACTTGCACCAACTTTCTATGTACTTGATGTTAGTGTTGTATAGATACTTGCACCAACTTTATATGAATGTGATGTTAGTGTTGTATAGATACATGCACCAACTTTATATGTTCTTGATGTTAGTGTTGTATAGATACATGCACCAACTTTATATGAATGTGATGTTAGTGTTGTATAGATACATGCACCAACTTTCTATGTTCTTGATGTTAGTGTTGTATAGATACATGCACCAACTTTATATGAATGTGATGTTAGTGTTGTATAGATACATGCACCAACTTTATATGTACTTGATGTTAGTGTTGTATAGATACATGCACCAACTTTCTATGTTCTTGATGTTAGTGTTGTATAGATACTTGCACCAACTTTCTACGTACTTGATGTTAGTGTTGTATAGATACTTGCACCAACTTTATATGAATGTGATGTTAGTGTTGTATAGATACATGCACCAACTTTATATGTTCTTGATGTTAGTGTTGTATAGATACATGCACCAACTTTATATGAATGTGATGTTAGTGTTGTATAGATACATGCACCAACTTTCTATGTTCTTGATGTTAGTGTTGTATAGATACATGCACCAACTTTCTATGTACTTGATGTTAGTGTTGTATAGATACTTGCACCAACTTTCTACGTACTTGATGTTAGTGTTGTATAGATACTTGCACCAACTTTATATGAATGTGATGTTAGTGTTGTATAGATACATGTACGTAAACACATAGTTTACTTAAGTATACAAATTGCATTAATATTACCCATGTCAATATCTCTCCTTTACTACATAGCTATAAATATGTTCACACTTAAGTGCAAAGGAGGAATTAAATATTTTTAGATAGGGATCGATTTGTGATATGCCAATTATGTTTATAAGTCTAGTGAAATTTTGAATTGGAACCTATAAAAATAGTGAGATAACTTCAGTTTAAATAGAGTGTAGTTAATACCAGTGCAGCCCTGTAATGAGGAAAATTCCCCACTTTTAAACCTTAATACAGAAAAACTTAATTTAAAAAATAAATAAATATTCTCTTCTTTTAAAGATCGGCAAAGGCAACCACTTCAATAGATCTACTCCATGTACATTCGAATAATTGTGTACACCTCAAATATAAATTTAAGCATTTAAAGACCCAGCTGATCCCGATTGCTATTGTTCTAAAGCTAAAATATATAACTAACACACAAACCCTTACACTCTCAGGTATACAGATAGAGTTTGCTCAAACAGTGCGAAACCTGGGTGTCTACTTAGACAGAAAACTATCTATGGAAAATCACATTAACATGCATTGCAAGGCGATTTTCTAGAGCTGCGCAGAATTAGTCATATCAGACCTCTTATTAACATTAGACGCATCGAAGAGGCTGATGTCTGCATTCGGGCTATCACACACACATGGACTATTGTAATGCTCTTATGGTGGGTCTTCCAGCTACGCTCCTGGGTAAAATTCAAAAAGCACAGAATAATGCGGCTCGCATTGTTCTTCAAAACGCAAATTCCACCATGCTAAAACTTTTCTGAGAGAGTTGCATTGGTTGCCGGTCCGCGCTCGCATAGAGTACAAAATTGCAACTCTGTGCTACCGCTGCTTGCATGACCTGGCACCGTCCTATCTCAAAGTGCTACTTACGCCTTATGTACCCTCTAGACAACTCTGCTCATCTGATAGTGGCAAACTCTCGATACCACGTGTTCGCCATGAGACTTACGAGGGGCGCACTTTCGCATTTGCTGGCCCAACAATTTGGAACACTCTTCCTATCGCTATCAGAAACAGCCAGACACTGGAGTCTTTCAAAACTGATTTGAAGACTTATCTTTTTGCAAACACCTGCTGGGGTGATGTTGTCTATCTAGCTATTATCTTGAAGACGTATATTGGCCTGTGTTGTTTATGGTTGCAAGGTGTGAAAGACTTAGAATGGGTATTCTTGTATGTAGTTTTGTAATGTTGAATTTTTTACTTCAATGTGGTATGTACCGCGCTTCGAGCCTTTGGGGATGTAACGTGATTTTTAAATAATCTTTATTATTATTATTATTATTATATATCCAAGGCGAATTTTATGAAATTATTGTACTATTTTTATTTCAGTTTGAAGAATTTACACTTTTAAAAAAACATTTTTTATTGTGTACATAATCAAAGTAATTAAATTTTTATAATACAGAACAAAGAAAGGAAACAAATCAATATTTATATCACAGGATGCAGACAGAATTTTTATATTATAAGATGCTACTGTTTTGTTTCTTGACCATTTCTTTAAAAAGTTAAGCTTTGCTTTTATTTCAGTGTGGAGGAAGCTCAATGCGTCCTCTCAAGGGAGAAGAAAGATTACGAGAGAATGAAGGGCCAGGGTTTCGACTTCGACCTGGCCCCGTACGGTCTAGCCAAACCTACTCTGGCAAGTATTGCTGCAGGACGAGAGCTGAAGAGACAAAAAGTGAGCCACAACTTCACGGGTGTCTCTGTCAGCTGTAAACTAACGACTTCCGGTTTTAAACCCTCTGCATCAAGTGACATCGCATCATCATCATCGTCGTCTCCCTTCTCATCCTTTTCGTCTGGGTCACCTGGTCCTCTCAGCAGTGCAGACCTTACACAAGAGCATGCTGTGACTGACCACTGGGAGAGTTATGATGAGAACTCTTTTAATTTTATTGAAGAGATGGGCCTACCATCCTCAAATGCCATCACCACTCATCAGACAGGTCAGGTTGATACAATGTCTAAATCATCACCAGACAGCGGCATTGATGCTGGGTCGGATACTGAGGTCAACAACCTGGTATTACCTCAGCTCAATGGGGACCTGACAGGCCAAATTTCAGATTTCTCTTTTACACTGGATTTATTAGTTAACCACATCGACTTTCAACAAGACAGAACTAAACATCCTAATAAAGATAAAATATTTAGCATTGAAAAAGATGATGAATGGTTAAATCTGAATGACTGGTACACTAAAACAGGCTCATGGCCAAGTAATGGACATTGTTCAATACTGGACCCAATAACACCTGACGATGAAATAGATTTGAACATCTCTCCAATCGCCAGTGTGGAGCTTCAGAGCCCACTGCTAGACATTGACCTTCTACTTTCTGATGAAGACATGCCTGACTCGCCTTTCAATCTACCATCCATCCCCGCAGCACCAGCGTCTCCTCATCTAAATCTACCATCAAATCCAGGAACACAATCTCTTCCTATGAATCTACCATCAAATCCAGGAACACAATCTCTTCCTATGAATCTACCATCAAATCCAGGAACACAATCTCTTCCTATGAATCTACCATCAAATCCAGGAACACAATCTCTTCCTATGAATCTACCATCAAATCCAGGAACACAATCCCTTCCTATGAATCTACAATCAACCCCAGAAAAACAATCTCCTACTAAGAAACCACCATATACCCCAGCAACACCATCTCCTCCAATGAATGTACCACCCTCTCCATCATGCCCTGATTTTGAAATTCAGAGCATTCTCAATTTCTTTGTACCAGACAAAATGTGCGAAAAATTGTTGACAAAATCATCCATCCAAATCCCAACTTCTGCCTGCGATGTGGCACCTAGCATTACGGATAAAAGCTTTTTAGCCACGTCATCAGACAATTTAGATCCGTCTCCACTTTTAATCCCCGCCCATTTCTCTAATTCGGGAAAGGACGAGGCGGTTGTCGACCATGGAAGTTGTAACGCTCAACCTAGGACAACGAATTCAATAGGACGAGTTCCAAAATCTAAGTTTTTCAGTTCAACAGAAGACACTGATATCCAACCTTTCAGATGCCCAGATATCATTGTCAAAATCAACCAAAACATCAGAAATAACCAAAGTGAGTCTAGTTCAGATGATGGCCTTGATAAAAGACTTTCAGAGTTGAGGCCATCATCACTGAAAAATCCCACAGATTTTTGTAATTTTCATGCAAATGATGTTCAAAATACGTCCATTTCTACTGGTGGCTCATCTGGGGTTGCCATGCCAATATCTAATAAACAAACCAATCAACAGGGGGTCTCATCCACAACTTTTTGTACCCGTAAGAGACTTAGGGGTTCTGCTGTAGCTCCATATTTAAAACAAACAGTTGCTTGTTCCAGTAAAAGAAATCACAAGTTAATCAATTCTCCAGATAAAAACTTGTGCCATATAGGAAACCTATCAAAAGAATGTAGTGCATTAAACAGTCAAGACATTTTTGAAGATGAATTGTCCTTGGGCCGTTTTTCACAACAAACAGATTCTAGTTTTAGTAGGAGAATTAACACAGGAGATAATTTAGGGACTTCCCCGTGTGGTAATGAACAATTAAGTAAAACATTGTGTTCCCAGTCTAATGCTATTAGTAGAAGTTTTAAAAGAGTTACAGATGATGAAAACACTCTTTCCTGTTTTAGTGGGAGCCCACAACATGAATTTAGCACTTGTAATGAACCACCTGTTCACACAAATGTATTGTCAGAATTTCAAGAGCCGGCTGGTCAACAAACTGCCCATGCACCTCGGCGATTTTTTCATGATACACAACTCTTTCATCGAGGTGCGCCATCCGCTCCTCATCAGGGGTCACAGCTCTCTCGTGGGGGTGATAAGGATGTTCAGCATACTTTGCTATCATCTCCTATGTTTCAAAGCAGCAGGACAGATTTCAACCAGATTATTCCCGATATAATTGTCCCTGCGTCATTTGTCCCAAGCACCATTTTAAAAAGTCATTACACCAGCGGCGCTGTTGTCAGTCAAGTAGGATTACCCCCATCACACCTGGATGATTCTGATTTAAGCTACCTTTTAAAGCAATTTGACAGCAGTGAGTCACAGGTGGATGGAGTTAACAGTGAAAGATCCAGTTGCCCAACATTAGCAGACGATTTGCAGAATTTGGACTTGGATTTTTCTACGATTGAATCTGAGTTAACGAAATGTGGAGTTGATCTCAGTGACTACATTTAGGTGGATCAGACTTGACTTTTGTATTTATAAAACAAAAATAGGGATAATTTTAATAAACACGGGAACACATGTGCACTATCTGTTTTTAACTAAATTATATTTATAAATAGTTGTAGCCCGCGAATCAGTGGCAACCACAATGGGTGAAGATCCCACCTACTAAAGTTACCTGATAAAACATACACTAAAGTAGTGCACTTTATAAGAGTCCCAATTAGTGCCCCTACCCAGGTTTGCCACCACACACCTTTTTCACGCCCCTGAATTATATTTATATTCTAATGTCCCAACCTCTTATACAGCAGATTTATAATACCATAATAATATTGAAACTGACTATTTGTTGAGATAAAACAAAAGAAAATATTAGGCACTTAACCCGCTTACTTTATTTATAAGAATATTATTAGTGCAGTTGTCAGGAATTTTATTTAATGAAATCAGCGCCATCTGGTAGTGCTAGTGACATTGTTAGGTGTTGAGAATTATGTATTTTGATATTATCTTTCCAAAAAAGTATCAAATTTGTTTATCAGTGTAAATAAATAAAACAAAACAATTGAACATACATAAAAGTCTCAGTGTGTTACAATAGTTTCTTAAACTTGCATAAAAAAAGATTTAGCCACACTACATCAGTAAACATTAAATTTGATGAAAAAAAATATATATGATTGTTGCTATCTTTTCTCAACAAAAAGTAAATCTCTGTGCTTTTAAAGACCCAAGTTTAAGAAATGTTGCAGGCGTATATTATTAATTATATAAGATAATTGACAACTCTTTTAAAGTAATTTTGTTTTTTTATGGAGAGCTCCATGTTTTCATTCTGTTTAAACCCATTTAGTTTTGTATATTCTAACAGGAGTGAATGTAATCTGGTGCTACTCAGGGGATAAATCTGATTGTTTTTAAAATGTCAGCCTTTTAAAATTAAACTTAGTAAATAGATAATTAGTTTAATTAGTTGATAGTATAGAATATCCTAAGGTGGATAGACAGAGACATGGTGTGTTGAGAATGGACAGAGCATTAATATCATTTGTTGTCTATTTATAGACTCAAAAAACAGATTCCTGCCTCTGGGACCAAAAACAGTTTTCCATTTCTTTGAATGAGTACCACCTGTTACGACAGTACAACTGTACCCACACAACCTATTACATAGGTACAAATTACAACTGGACCCATACCACCTGTTAAGTAGGTGCAACTGTACCCATACCACCTGTTAAGTAGGTGCAACTGGACCCATACCACCTGTTAAGTAGGTGCAACTGTACCCATACCACCTGTTACTTAGGTGCAACTGAACCCATACCACCTGTTAAGTAGGTGCAACTGGACCCATACCACCTGTTAAGTAGGTGCAACTGTACCCATACCACCTGTTAAGTAGGTGCAACTGGACCCATACCACCTGTTAAGTAGGTGCAACTGGACCCATACCACCTGTTAAGTAGGTGCAACTGGACCCATACCACCTGTTAAGTAGGTGCAACTG